GGGGGGGCGGCCTACGACGTCAGCCTCCCAGCCCCTGGCCGCCTCTGCACTTGATCCGCCGTGCGCACCTGCGTGCCTCCATGTCCCTCTGTGGGCACAGTGCATGCCCATGGCCGCCAAGGCCCGGCATGATGTAGGCCCAATGTCACCCTCCTACACACATGCACGAGCCAAGCCCCCATCATCCTTCCCCGTCACCCCACCCCCCTCCGGCCTTTGACCCAGGCGGCGGCCTGCCCCTGCACGACCCGCTGCACCCCGAGATCCGCACCCTCCAGGAGCGGCTGGAGGAGGAGCGCATGGCGCTGGCGGCGCGCGACGCCGACCTGGTCGCGCTGCGGCGGCGGCTGGGCGGCCTGGCGCGATGCGTGCTGGACGGCGCGGCGGCTGCCACGCAGCTGCAGGCCCGGCTCTCCGACCCGCGCGCCGACGGCTGGCACGCCGAGCTGGCGGCGGGGCGCGCCGCGGCGCCCGCGCTGGGGCCCGCCGTCAGCGTGCACGTCGCGCGCGGCCTGGTGACGGGCGCGGGGGAGTTGATCCCGGCCGCCGAGCTGGAGCGGCGGGACGCGGCGCGCGGCGCGGCGGAGGCGGCGGAGGTGGAGGCCTCCCTCCTACGACAGCAGGTCGTCACCCTGGCGCAAGGTCTGTGGGTGTGGCGGTGGGTGTGTTTCTGTGGGATGGGCGTCCCTGGGGCAAGAATGTCGAGGTGGCCTGGCACACCAGGGCTGCATGGGTGAGGTGAGCCGTGCGTGGCCCGTCCCTTTGCCCTCCTCGAAATGAGTCTGTCATCTCTCCTGCCCTGTACATTTCCCACTCAACCCTCATCCAGCAACCCTCCCTTTCTCCCCCCCCCGCAGAGCTGGCGCAGCGTGAGAACCTCCTGGCCAGCGTGCGGAACCTGGGGACTGTGCGGGGGACCACTAGCGTGGGCGAGGACGACGTAACCATGCAGGCAGGCTTTGGGTGGATCGGGTGGAAAGCAAGGGGTGTGGTGTATGAATGGTCACGAGGCTGCGCCAGAGTGTGCTCGGCAGCTGCTTGAGATCCGGCGTGGTGTCATGGGGTTGCATAGCCTGTTGCCGAGCAGAATCTTCGTCGCTGGACCTGATTGCGGCCTGTTTGCGGCACAAGAAGCCATGCAAGCCCTGCCGACCCACACCCCGCAACCCTCCCCTTCCCGGCCCCCCCCCCCCCCGGTCCCTCAGATCATGCTGGCCGAGCGCGAGTTCCTGCAGGCCCAGCTCTCTGCCTCGGACGAGCACAGCGACAAGCTGGCCCGCGCCCTCGAGCGCATGCGCCTGCAGGTGAGGAGGGGGTGGGTCGATGGCTGCGAGGAACAGCACGGCGATGCACATTGCTCCTGCCTCTGCATTCTGCTCAATCTTCCTGCTCCACCCCCCCACAGCCCCCCTGCATTGCTCCAAGCTCCCTCCCGCCCCTCCACACCCAGAACACCATCCCCATCAACACAACCCGCAGCTTGCCGAGTCGCGCGGCGTGGACCCCGACGCCATCGGCTACGGGCTGGACGAGGACGTGGCCGGAGAAAGTGCGGCGGTGGTGTCCGCGGCGCGCACGCTGCGCCACGGCTACGACCACGTGCTGGCGGAGAAGGTGCTGGCCATGGAGAGCAAGGTGGGCGCGGCCATCGATGCGCTGCGCGCCAAGGAGGAGCAGATCGGGAGCCAGCGCGCGGTGCTGGCCAGCCTGGCGGGGCTGGAGGACCAGATCCAGGGCCAGCTGTCGGAGGTGACGGCGGAGAACACGACGCTGCGCGGCGAGAACGCGTGCCTGCGCCGCGAGCTGGACCGGCTGGAGGCGCAGAACAACCATGTGCAGGGGTACTACCTGGACGACCTGTCCCATGCCGAGCTGTCGGAGCTGATTGGCACGCTGACCCAGGCCGTTGAACGTGTGCGCATCACGGTGCAGCTGCGCCGCCTGGCGCGGGGCAAGCGCGGCAGCAACGTCAGGTAGTGTGTGTGGTGGGTCTTTGTGGTGGGTGGGGGAGGTATGAGAAGGACTTTGACGTGGCGTAGGGCTCGTTCCTGGTACGAGGCTGCAGGGGTGGCGAGGAGGCGTGGAGATTGCAAAAAATGGGGGCCGCATGTCATCCCCCGGCCCCCTTTCCTCCCTCCCAACCGACACAGCCTGCTGGGCGGGGAGACGCCGAGCACGGGCATGAGCCGGGAGGCCATGCGCGCCGCGCTGCAGGAGCTCCAGCTGCACTCGCCCTCCACCAGCGACAAGCTGACCAACGGGCACGCCCCGGATGTGCCCACAGAGGCCTGAGCGCCCCAGGGGTCGTGCTCTGTGGCCCGCGCGTCTCACAGGCTGGCGGGCACTGCACCACACGGATGGCTGCGCTCGCACGCCCCGACGCCTGCGCCTGGGAGGGAGCTGCCCCTGGACTCACCTCCCCAGCCCCTGCCGTGGTGCGCCTCCACAGAGCTCCCTCGTCGTCTCCTTCTCCCTCCCAGTCCCTCGCCCTCGTTCCCATGTCTCGCTCTGCAAGCTTGCCTTGCGACTCCCTGTGCCCGCCCCTCCCCATTGTCTCCCTTGCTCCCGCCCGGCACTCACATGGGTGCCCTGCCCAATTGCCCCCAGCTTCACACCTGTTACCCAAGAATTCTTGGATCAGTATCAGGACAGGGACGGGGACCAAGGCCTGGGTGCATGATGCAGGGTCTCCTTGCATCAGGGGAGAGGGAGGTGGACCAGGCATAGGCAGGAGGCGACCCTACCCCTTGGACACCATGGGAGGTATGGCAAGCGCCGTGGTGTGTGCCTCACGAGCACCCTTTCCTACCAAAAATGCCCGGCTGCACGGCCAGCAGCGTCCTCAGTGCGCACCCTTGCCAGGGGACCCCTCGCCAAAAAGCGCCTGGCCCAGAGCCCGGCTGCGCTGCATCGCGGCCCGGTATGCGCCAGCCACCCCGGGGTCCGGCAGCGTGGCGCCCTCCTCCAGTGCGATCCCGTGGCTCGACACGAACTTGCCCACCCTCTGGCCACGATCGATGGCAGCGGCCTACGTTGGGGCATTGGACGGGGCTGGTGGTGATGGGCACCGTGTGTGCCGGTCGGCGGCCGGTGCAGGCCGCCAATCACGCAGCCGTTCCCCTGGCAGGCGGTGCACACATGGCAGGTACGGGAGGCACTGCATGCATCACACGCCACCCCCACCCCCTGGCACGTGCATCCCGAGTTTCCTGCCTCACCTGCAGGGCGCCGCCGAGGGCAGCCGCCTCGGGCTCCAGAGGAAAACGGAGCGGCAGCTGGAAGGCGTCGGCCACAATGCGACGCCAGAGACGGTTGCGCGCCCCGCCCCCCACCACCCGGAGCTCGTCGGGGACGAGGCCATGCGCACGCAGCCGCTCCTTCCCGGCAGCCAGCAGGAAGGTGACGCCCTCCAGCGCGGCGCGGTAGACCAGGCCGGGCCTGCTGCTGCCGACGCGCAGACCTGCAGCCGCCACAGGAAAGGGTGAGATTGGGGCCTCAGGAGTGGGTTTGGAGCTGTGTAGGGCTGGCCGGGCCACAGGGCAGAAACCCCCACCCTGCCCCGTCATGCTCAGTGATCCCCGGGGCCCACACCGAGCAGGGCGCCGCTGGCGTGGGGCCAGTTGGGCGTCCGCTCGCCGCCCAGGAAAGGGAGGAAGGTAACGCCGTCGCAGCCGGGCTGCTCCCTGGAAGCCAGCTCCGTGATCTCCTCGTGGCTCAGCCCATGTGCCTGTCGCACCTGCTTTCGCGGTGCAGGTGGGGGTGATGAGGGTGTGAACGAGGTGAGCAAAGAAAAAGTGTACCTGTTGAGCCGCTGCCGCGGCCCCAGCATTCTCGCTCAAAAGGGTGGTCTCGAACATCTGCTGGGAACCTCCGTTGCTCTTTGTATGAGCGATCCCACTCCTCTGATAACCAAAATGCAGAGCACTTCAGCCACACCCACACACCACCTCCGCCACTTGCCTCCTCTGGCACACCAGCGCAGTTGATGGTGCACAGCAGGGGCAGCCATGCCCCCGTTGCGTCAGCAAAGGGGCAAATGATCCCGGTGGGGTCCTCGATCAGGCCCATGCTGGGACCAAACAGCGTCCCTGTCGTGGTTTTGATGTTCATGCTTGGGAAAGGGTCAAGAGAGTGAACTGGTGCCTTGCACCCTCATGCCTTGTAAGATCAAATGACACAACACCTTTGCCTCAACACAGGGATTGGCTGAAATCGATAGCCCTCCATGCGATGCAAGGCATGTGGAATGCCATGCAGAGTCCCCGTGCACCTGATGTCCCCAAGGACAGGACCAGCGTGCCCTCCTCCACGGCGCCCACCCCCAGCGCCGCCATGGCATTGTCCCCACCGCCTGGACCCACGACGATGCCAGCTGGCAGGCCCAAGCGCTCAGCAGCGTCGGGCTGCAGCCGCCCCGCGGGCTGTGGGTGGGCGAGGGGATGAGAATTTGTTGCCATCTAGTCCTGTCTGAAGGCCACAATTTCAAAGCAACCTCTATACAGCCCCTCTTCCTCCAAAAATCAGGCCATGGACTGCAGGCAATACCTCATTGGCAGACCGGAGCGGCGGCAGGCAATCGCAGAGCCTAGGGTCTACGGCTTTGACTCGCTCCCAATCCCACAGCCTAGGATTCTCGCTCAGGAACCCCATCCCGCTAGCGTCGCTGGCCTGTGCCAGTTGCATTGGAGGTCAGACAGGAAAGAGGAGGTACTGGAAGATGAAAGATTGGCAGCCCTGAGGCGGACTGGCTATTGTCAAGCAGGGCTACTGATGCAGCATCCTCAATTGCCCGGGAGCCGGCCTAGCTTTCGGTGTGATTGATTACACACGCATGACAAAGGAAAGAATCTAAATCCTCCCGCACCCCCTCACCTCCATGACAGCCTCGCCAGTCAGCCAGAAATTGATGTAGTTGTGGGGCAAGAGCACCGTGGCCACTTGGGCAAACACATCTGGCTCGTGCCTCTTGAGCCAAAGGAGCTTGGTGGCTGCAGCACAGAGTGGTGATGCACGCGGTGAGTGGGAGTCCCAGAGGTTGCCGTTCCAAGGCCACGGGATGAGTCGAGCATGGTGCCCCTCCTCTCCATAGAAACCATTCCCTGCACCCTGACGGCTGAACGAGCTGTCTACCCCCTTCGTCTATCCACATGACAAGGAAGACAGGCATGAGGTCAGCATTGACATCCTGAACCATCCCACCTGTGAAGGAGGGCACGAGGGTGGTGCCGTAGACCCTGGAGAGCTCCTCAGCCTCCTCAGCGCTGGTCACATCGCACCACAGCTTGGCAGGCCGCAGCACCATGTTGTCCTTGTCGAGCACCACCATGCCATGCTGCTGCCCGCTGACGCCGATACCCCTAACCTGGGCCGCCGGGAGGCCCTGCAGTGCCTGCCTGCTCGCCGTGCAGACCGCCTGGTGTGGGGAGGTGATGGGGAGAGCACCTGCCAACGAAGCTTGTCGCCCCAGGCCCGCAAGCGCAGCACCCCCCCCTGCACACAGCTGCCCGAAGGAGGAGGATCAACCTGTCAATTGAAGCGCACCTCTATCCAGATTGCAGGGTCCTGCTCTGCCTCCCCAGCGCGACTGCTCTGGACGCCATAGGCAATGGATCCCCTACCCAACACCTGCTTCTTGTCTGGGTCGTACAGGAGAGCCTTGGTACCAGATGTTCCCACATCGAGGCCCAGGTACAGTGGCATGGGGGCTTGAGTATGATCGGTATTGATTTTGAATGGAGGCTCAGTGCGTGGGATCGGTATTGCACAAAACGAGCTCACGCGGATGTGCTGTGGACATAATTGTGATGCGCTGGACCGGGATCCCCTGTTTGATCGAACGATTCCTGTTCCTAGTGTGATGCTCAAGTGAATGGATATTGGGTCTTCTGTCCCGCAGGATCGCATCAATGATCGCTTTTCTCCGACATGGCATAGGATTTCCGCTGACGCATCATGCTTAGGTGTCCTTTCCAGGCTTTCGAAATCCATCACGACACACATTGATGCCCTTGATGCACCTCCCTCCACTCAGAGCTCGTAAAGGCCCAGCGTAATGATTCCGCCCCACCTTTAACAGCCTTGGTGGGAGTGCAGGTGCTTGTTCTGCACCCATTATACTCTGACACATCTGCTGCCGGAGCATGAGCTCAGACAGAGTAAACCACAATAGTAATCATCATTGACGCATCGCCGTGAGCTTCCGTCCTGCATGAGACTACACGACTATGTCAGCATGGCATGCAATCATTCATTCCCATGGTCGTGAGCTGGGCAGGCAGTGAACAAAGCTCCCCCCTCTCAGCTACATGCCTGGCCCGCCTCGCCTTTACAAGTCTTCAAACAAGGGTGCATCCCCATGCCACGGGGAGCACAGGAATCAAGTGCAATTCTAAAAACCTCGGATCATGAGAGCCTCCAGGCTCATTTGTGGAGGGCGGTGAGCAGCGCAGCTCCGCCATAAGCGGCGGTGCCACCCAGGACCAGGAGGACGGCTGCCGCCACCTGTCCAGCAATCAGCCAGTTGCTGGTGTCGGGCACAAAGTACACCAGGGCAGGCGCGGCAGCCAGCAGGGCTGCAGCTGCACCGAACAGGAGCCGTGGCGTGTTCCTGCAGATTAGGATGGTGGATAGGGAGTAGCTCTGAGTGCAGCTCCTGAAGTGAAGAGGCATGCTGACCCACAATATTAGCTCCAGCAGAGGGGTTTGATCCAGCGCCACCACAACGCTTGCCCAAGTGCATCCCTGGCTCCACCTAGGCGCCTGCAAGGCCCGGTGACCCACCATACCCCTGCCAGGCCCACCTGTCTGCCGCGGCGGAGATGAGGCCCAGGCTCTCAGTCGTGCTGAGCAGGCCGTACTTCTCGATGTCGGACAGCGTGAAGCCGCCGCGCTCGATGGCGGAGAGCAGGCCCGCGCTCTCCAGCTTGCTCAACAGGCGCAGTTGCTCGATGCGCCCCAGGATGCGTGGCGAGGCCTTGCCCGCCACCTCCCTCTGCTTGAACACCCCGCTGCGCCCGTTGTACACCTCGATGGCCTTCAGGTTCTTGTTGTCCCCACGCCGCTCCCCAGAGTCAAAGGGAATGGTGCCCACCGGTAGCTTGATGCGCTTGGTGCCGTCAGTCACGTCGCGCTTCATGTTTCCCCTCTGGCCCCCGACCTTGCGGAAGCCGTCGAAGGGCTTCATGCCCTCGCCCTTGGCGGTGGTGGGGGCGGGGCGGGAGGCCAGGTGGCGGGAGGCGGGCTGGGGCTGCCGGCAGGCCAGGGACTGGCCTCCATTGGCTGCCACAGAGCCATGGACCTGCGGTGAGTGGAGGCGGGGGGGAGGGCCTCTCGAGCCGGTTTGCGACGGTTATATTATACTTCATCACACTTTGTGGTTTAAAGAGTGCGCTGCATGCTCCCATGCGGCTCGAGCGCACCTTGCTCGACGCAAATGCCATGTGGTTGTGAGAAGTGGGCACCTGCTGCGACTTCTCACTCGACAAGACGGAGTCCACGGGAGTTCTATGGGTGACAGAAACCTCCTCAGCACTATCTACACGCTAGAGGGGGCTGAGCGGATGGTTCTGGCCGTTTCGCGGGTCCTGTACAGGGGGGGATCGTGCCTCATCATCATGAGCTCGGGGGTGCAGCATGCACGGCACGCATGATAACGAGGATTCGGGGGCTCCGGGACGGCATGCGTTGGGCCGGGCTGTACATGATCAGACCTCGACTGCACTTAGACCAGGAATGTGAAGTGGCATGTCGACCGCTTGACATCGTGTCCCTGCTGCATAGAGGGGCAGCCCAGGCGTTCAAGGGAATCCTCCTGCCCAATGTGGGGCCCCTCCGCCATGCAAATGCAACATCGCACCGGAACGCAGTCTATCTGCTGCAGGCCACGATTATCGCGTTGCACATCTTCCAACGAGGGTCCCAGAGCCTTTGCTGGGTCCTCTGCCCTGTATTTCACCACCGCGAGACCTCGACGGAGAGGTGAGACAGTCCCGTGACTGGAGGGGGCGATCTCTTGTGTCGGTGCCTCAACACTATTAAGATAATGCCCCTTAATTTCGTCACACCATGGCTCTCCAGCGGCACGCCAGCTCCTGGATCGGTCCCGGAGGGGTCTGGCAGTTCAGGCATCGTTCTTCGGCGTAGGAGCCCCTGAAGCCATCCTCGTGGGAGTGGTAGCTCTGGTGGTGTTTGGGCCCAAAGGCCTGGCCCAGGTGTGCTCTGGGCCCAGCAAGGATAGTCGCAGAGGGTCCTGACCCAGATTGTTGAAGCGTTCATGGTCTGGAGCACAATGCAAGCTTACCCCTGCCAGGCTGCTCCCTTGAGCTCCTCGCACACACTGGATCCCCCTCTGCACACCCTGGCCACAGGCAGCCAAGAGTCTGGGGAAGACGCTGCGTACGTTCCAGCCTGCCATCCAGGAGCTGACCCAGGTGTCTGCCGAGCTGCGCAGCACGCTGGAAAGGGAGATCGGGCTGGACGAGGTGAGGGAGGACCTACGCTCCGTCACTCGGCCCCGGGCGCCCTTCAAGACCCTGGAGCTGGACGAGGACGATCGCGGCGTGGGGGAAAAGAGACTAGCGAGCGTGGGCCCCCCAGCCGCAGAGGAGGACGTCGACATCGAGGCCAAGCGGCGAGCCTCTGCCGAGCTGGCGTGGGGCAAGGCTGGGGGCCAAGGGGGGGAGGTGACTCAAGGGGCAGCAGGTCATCCAGCGAAAACTAGGGCAAACTTGCAAGAGCTGAGCGAAGAGGAGCTGCTGGGCGAGCTGAGGCGGCGGAAGGCTGAGATGGAGGCCGCGGTGAAGAAGGATGCCCAACCAGGGAGTGTCGATGGGAAATGATGACGAGCTCTGTAGCATATCTTGACCGTGTTGGCTTCAGGCTGCACTCCAGATTCTAGATTGAAGGGAGTTTTGGGTTGCCCTGGACACCTGTCCCCCGCGGAGCTGAAAAAATCCTCCCCAACGCGATTCGTCCGAAAGAAAGTAGGGTCCGACACATACCGATCCCCTGCGCCCCTGATTCCCCTGACCGTTTGCCAGGGGGGGGAGCGTACCCAATCCATGCTTGGCGCATTTCCAGGCCTCAAGTGACGTCCGAGCATGCGAGCAAGGGGTCTGTTTCCATCAAGAGCCCGCAGTAGCAGATCGACGGCAGCACTCAATCGGGCTTCATCCTGATCGCCAGCTCCCATGCAGGGCATCCCTCAGGTCTGACTGCAATGAAATGAATTATTTGTGGTCCCGTGGGTTCAAGTCGGCAAAATTCAGAGTATGAAGCCTCGCTTGACTGGCTGGAGGATGTTCATGACAACGCACCCATTTCCACCCGCAGACCGTAGCGTCCCACACGGCCCCTCGGGCACCGATCCGTCACCCTGGTCGGGGCGCGAGACCGTATCGTAGTGTCAGGCGACTTCATCTCCTCAGAGCCGCGCCTGATGGTGAGATCCTCCGTGGCGTGTCGATGCCAGGTCGCATGGGCATGGGTTCCCACGCCTATAGCAGCAGTGCCCCAAAGTTGGCAGCGACATGCCGACAGCAACAAATGGTGCACCCCCCTCCATGGCCCATTGCAGGGGCAACACTGGAGCTCCCGGCCCCGGAAGCTGCGTCAGACATACTGAATGAGGCCATGGATGCCACAGCTCAGGCGACCCAGGCCGTGGGTGCAGCGCCAGACCCCTCGCTCCTGCAATCCGCGGGAGGGGGGACGAGCACCTTCTCCCTGCCCTCCGCCCCGGACCTGAGGGGTCTGCAGGAGAGCGGGGGGGCGGCCCTGCAGGGGACGCGCGAGTCACTGGAGCGCGCCTTCCAGGGCCTCGGCGAGACGGCCGGCGGGGCGGCCGCGGCGCTCAAGGGCCTCACCGGCTCGGCCGCCGACGCGGTGCAGGGCCTGACCGGCACGGTCGCGGACGCGGTCCAAAACCTGACCGGGTCCACCTCCGATGCGGTGCAGGGCCTGGCCCAGGGCAGCTCCAGCGCCGTGACGGAGGAGGCGAGGCTGGCGGCCGAGCAGCTGGCGGCCACGCGGGAGAGCCTGGTGGGCAGCGTGGCGCGCTACTACGACCTGCTCCCGCCCGAGGCGCAGAGCCTGCTTGGCGCCGGTGAGAATGAGATATTTTTGGTGAAGCATGCAGAAAGGTGCTCCTGCCTGGGCATGCCGTCAGCGGCCCGCCCAACTTTGCATGACCATGCGCGACTCAGCAAGGCCAAGATTCACTCAGAAGAGCCGTGTACCAGCTCAAACCACTGATGCCATTGCCCACCCCCCCCCAATCCCAACCTTCCCCCTTCCTCACACTGCGTCCAGGTGGCAGCGCGCTCCTGCAGGCCGCGCAGTGGACGGCGCAGAGCCCGCCCGCTGCCGCGGGTGCCCTCCTGCTCCCCACTTTCTTGCTCTGGCGCGCAACGCGGGGTGGGTTCTCCGGCACGCTCTCCGCCGAGGACCTGGCGGCCGCCCTGGCTGCGCCCGGAAAGGGCGGAATACTGGTGGTGGACATCCGCGAGGCCGGCACGCGTGCTTCAGAGGGCATCCCCGACCTGGGCGACGGCGAGGGCTGCGCCGCCGTCGCGCTGTCCGTGCCCACGCTCGACCCCGGCCTGGTCAAGAAGTGGGTCTGGTGGTCGTGCTTGTGGTGGGTGGTGGGTGGGGGGGGTTGAGTACTGACGTGTCTGGAGACGCTCTCGTGGGTGGCTGTGGGCTATGCTTTCTAGTCCATGCAGCGCCGGCCATGAGGTCATGCTTTCCCTGCCTGGCGAATGCAGAGCTGGCCATCGCTGTCAGCTAGTCCATGCACCCCACAGCATCAGCTTTTACAGAGCTGATGCAGTGCTCTGGGTCCCCCTCCTGTCAGCAAACACCTCCCCATTATCCATTCCCTCCACACACTACCGCAGGCTGGCGGACCCGCAGGGCGTCGCGCTGCGGACTCTGGGCCTGGAGATCGCGAGGCTGAAGGCCCTCCAGCGCGGCACCAAGCTGGTCATCCTGGACTCGAGGGTGAGGCGAGCGGTGTTCTTGAGTTGGTAAAAGGGTGCCCATTCAAGCGGTGTGGGGGAAAGGGGTCGGGGAGCCGATGCCCCACCCTCAGGGGCTATAGCCGCTGTGTGCTGGGCCTTGAGAGCCGTGCAGAGCCGCTGCCACATTGTCACTGTTGAGATCTGGCACCATGGCGTGCTTCTAGAGGGTGGAGCAGTCTCTCAGTGCCACATCATGGCACCCTCTCTACTCCCACTCCTCGAAGCAAACGCTCCTCTGCGAGCACCGCTTCCCTCATTCTCCATTCCCTCACACCCACTCCCCAAACAGAACGACGCGCGTGCCAAGGCCGTGGCGCGCGCCGCCTACGCCGCGGGCGCGCGGCGGGCATACTTCCTCAAGGGCGGCTTCCGCGCCTGGCGGGCCGCCGGTCTCTCCGTCGGCCGCGGCTCGGACTACGAGCGCGGCGCGCTGGGCAGCGCGGCCTCCGCCGCGCGGCGCCTGGCCGCGCGGCCCCTGGGCGTGGCCCTGGCCCTGGGCGCCGGCGCCCTGAGCCTGGGCGCGGCGCTGGACCCGCGCGCCACGCTGCGCTTCCTGGGCGTGACGGGGCTGGAGGTGCAGCTCGTGCTCCGCGCGCTGAGCTATGACAGCCCCCAGGCCGCGCTGCGAGATCTGGGCGGGCTGGGGCGCGGCGTGGCAGGCCTGCTGGCCGCCCCCGGGGGCGCCGCGCGGAAGCTGGCGGCCGCGCTGCCCGGCGGCGGCCAGGGGACACGGGCGCTGCCGGGTGTGCAGGCGGGGGGTCCTGGGGCGGCCCAGCCAGAGGCCGCCGGCACGCGGGAAGCCAGGCGGGAGGGGGCCGGGACAGGGTCCTCCCGGGAGCGGCCGGCGGCCGCCAGGCCGGCCGGTGCAGGCGCCACGCCGGTGGTCGGAACGCTGGACACCGTGGACGTACCGGAGGCACCTGCCACTACCACGGCCGAGGCTGAGAGGGGCGGCGCTGGTTCACGAGTCGACCAAGGCGGGGTGGAGAGCGAGCGGGCGGGGTCGCGCCAGGGCGGCGCCGCCGCCTCGCTGCGGGAGGGTGGACGGACCTCAGCAGGCGAGGCAGCCCTGGCCGGCGATGGCGCGGCGCCCTCCAAGGATCCTGTCCTGGACCCGAGCAAGGAGGTGCCGACGCCGGAGGCCGCGGGGAACCTGGATGTGCCCAGCAACCCGCGGGGCAGCCGCACAACTTCGGGCGAGGAGGGTGCCGACAAGACCGCCGGCCACTGACTCTGTGCGAGGGTATCCCCTCCTTGCTGCCTGACTCCCGTTGACCTTCAGTTGCCGCATCAAGTGCATGAGAGCATCGAGCAGCTGCAAGCCACTCCTGTAACCACCGGCAGATTCATGTGGCCAGGCGGACCCTGGGTTGTTCCGTGCACCCCAATGGCCCCACAAGCTGCCCCAGGTCCCTAATCAAGGTCCAGCACGCCAGAGTGACCGTGTGTCCCCAGGTGTTCACCTGGCATTATTCATGACCGATGCAGGTGCAAGGGATGGCCAGACCTCATCGAGCCTTGATTCTCTCGAGCAGGTCCTTGAATGCAGCCAGCAGCGTCGGGTGGAAGGCGGAGTGCACTGCACTAGGACTCAGCCCCGGCCCCTCGCTCCGGTACGCCAGCTGCATCTCCTCCAGGTCGTCGCTGGAGATCTGGGTCAAGCACAACTTGCCCATCGCCTCCCCGTCCTGGGTCAGGGCGAGGTCGACCTCCAGCTCAAAGCCCGCCCTCTTGCGGCCCCGGACCAGCCACTGGTGGGCCTCGCCCGTGCAGGAGGAGATGGCGGCGACGCAGAGGGTGGAGCCCCCCACGGAGACCGACGTGCTCCTCAACAGCTCCCCCAGCGACGCCTTGACCCACTCCATGCCCACGGCCCGCTCCTCAAAGGTGCCGCCCTGTGTGTGGGTCGTGAAGTCGCTCATGCACTGTGACACAGAGCGAGTCTTTCACAGACAATCAAGGACCCAGAGCTGTTTAATGTCAGAGCAGCGTCCCAAAGACGGTGGCAATCTTCCGGTCCACGCCTTCGAGCCACCTGTGTCTACCATATCAGCAATCACCCGCCAAAACCCACCATGTTCCAGGCTGAGGCGCCTGTAGTCTGTTTCAGGCGGTCAATTTCGCTCTTCTGGCGAGCTACTTCTTCTTGGGTGAGCAGTTTGGGGTCGGGTGTTGCCGTGCTGTGTGCATTTTTGGCCGCCCAGTAGGAGTAGCTCAGGTCGGCCTGAGGTGGCGTGAGAGTAGAAGCAGTACTGCCGTGTGAAACTACGCAGTTTGAGAAGACGGCCATCAATGCGAGATGTCGGGGTGGTTTTCAAGACTTGAAGCATTTAATCCCCACCCAGCACACCACTTACCTTGCTGGTGGCTTGCTCGACCAGCTTGGAGACGGGGGCGTCGGTTCTAGACATCTCGTCACACCTCGGCCCCACCACTCGCAACGAGCAGCAGCCCTTTGGGTGTATCCTACTGAACGCAGCCTCAGGTCATGCAAGCAGCGGTCCTGCGTGGCAATGCATTGAAGTACGGGCCACCGAACAAGGCTTCATGCTCCATGCTGCAGTCGGAACTCAGCACGCACATCACAGGAGCGTTGCTGTCGGACCCCATAATCCATTTGCAGATAAGCAGTCCATCCTCACGCTGAGCTTCGGAAAGAATGGTTTACATGGGAATTAAGCGGCGAGAAAAGGGTGCACCACAGCTCGACAGGTGTGCAGGTATCAATTTGTGAGCAGGTCTACCAGCGCCTTGGCCTTTGGGCCGTGGCAGTCCGAGTTGACAGAGGGCACGATGCGCAGGGGAGCAAACCAGGTCACGAACTCCCGCAGCTCGCTGAAGCTGGAGTGCTCGCTGTAAGGCACCTGTGGGTTTGGGATGTACGTGAAGGGGTCTTCCACACCTGACTATGCAGCTGCTGCACCTGCCCGCAGGTGTACCCTGCACCCAGGAGGCCCAACAAATTTCCCGCTTCACAGCACAACAAACTAGCCTGGTAGGTGATGAGGGACCCCCGCTGCTGTTTCCTCCCTCGTGCCCTCGTCCGCCCGGCCTCCTTGTCATGCGTCCAGCCGGTCGGCTTGAAGCCCACCACTGTGGCAGGAGGGCGAGGGGCGGCGGTGCTTGGCGTTTGCTCAGAGGTCAGGGGCCATGCGTAAGCTGTGTGCCTCCTACTGTTAGCTAGAAAGGGCTGGGGAAGCTGGAACGTGCCTCCTCCGCCACTCCGCCCTCGGCGATGTGGCGGGCACTCCTTTGCCACGCACAAATTCCCCAGACCAATTCCCTCGGCTGCTCACCGGTGGTGAATCTGCCCCGGTAGTGCTTCAGCAGCTTGGTCATATGGTCGTGCGTAATCATCCACAGTGGGACGGCGTGCAGGGAGGTCTCCCGGTCGCTGGTCGTCAGCTGGGCCCTCACCTCAGGCTCAAGCTCGAGGCAGTTCAGGATCTGGCAAGGTGTTGGAAAGGTAGGTTGAACTTGGGGCGGCGGGTGCGCACACGTCAAGCCGGCAGAGGTCTCAAACAATGACCTGAGGTGAGCATGCATGTTCAGACCTGTTTAATAGCCGAGCCCCTGCCATTCCCCGACAGGGCGAGCCGCCGTACCTTGAGCTTGGTGGCAGACACATAGACCTTCTGTCTCAACACCCGCGCGGCCTCCAGGAACACACGCTCTTTTCCAATCGTGTATCTGGCAAGCGGCAGGGGCGTGTGGGACTTGGCTGGGTGCGAATGACTGTGCTTGGTGCAGCAAACCTTCGAGGAGGAGCCTGGGCTGAGACTGGGAAACATGACCATGCCTAAGCAGGTTCCCGCCTGCGCCGCCCATCCCTCCATACCAGGACAGCCTCCTTCCCAAACCCCCAAAACTTGCACTCACGAGCCAAATAGGAAGAGGGTCTTGGGGTTGAAGGCCTCCGCCTTGACAGCATCGATGACAAAGGACAGGACCTGGCTCGGCATTGTGAGAGTGTGGAAATCGTAAGAGTCCGCACGCGGAACGTCTGTTCATGCCCACATAGGGCAGCCTTTGCTCACCATGCTGCGCACATCAGCAGGATCCGCTCCCCCTCCCCCCCCGTCGCACATAGCTGCATGCCGTGCCTCCTGCCTCCCCAGATACCAATTCACTGTCTGGCAGAGCATGAAACCACCCCCATATCATTCCCCACACCGGCATTTACCCGAAATGCCGTACCTCGTCCTGGGAGGGAAACTGGTACTGCGGGTCGCAGTAGGTGGTGTCCAGGATGAGGTCGGCCCTGCCACGCAGCCTGGCCAGGGCGGGCAGGCGCTGCATGGGTGCCACCAGGCGGCAGTCCCCCGTGTGCAGCACGGGCCGGCGCGCCTGGCCCCCCGCGACCCCGGGGCTCGCCTCGAAGACCAGCATGGCGGCGCCGGGGCAGTGGTTGGCGTCCAGGAAGGTGACCCGCGTGCCCTCCAGGTCGAAGGGCTCGTCCAGAGGTTGCGTTCTGAGCCGGGCCGGCGGCAAGCGCAGCTGCTGCGCCACCAGGGCGCCGGTGGTGGGGGTGCAGTGGATGATGCCACGGTCGAACCTGGCGAGCCATGCAGGGGGTGGAGGAATGTGGTGTGGTTTGGTGGAGTGTGTTTGAGGGATCTGAGGCCCTGGCAGGGCAGGACTGGGATCCTGGTGGGCGGCCTGGGGAGTGCGGGGTGAGGAGCTTTTGCCCCTCTGCGGGGCCATGATCCCAACCATCCCTCGCACCACGAATCCCGCTCACTTCCCGGTCAGGCCCTTGTAGTGATCGGCGTGGAAGTGGGTCAGGAACCAGTGGCGGTGCTGGGGCAGGGAGGGCGGCAGGCTGTCAAACCTGTCCACCACGAACTGGGTGCCGGGCACCAGCTGCCAGGGGCGGAGCGGGACCACGCCACCCTTTCTGAAGACAGCGGGTCCAGGCGGGTGAAGGAGTGAGGCACGGCGCAGGGGAGGGGTCATTGCTGTGCGCATTGTCCTCAACTAATTGGCATCCTGGTCTATTGTGGCGGGTGTCAGAAGCCGGTTGGAATGGCAACGTCCCTCCCGTCCAACAGAACAAACAATCTCACCGGCGCATGGTGTAGGGTCGGGCCGTGGTGCCGGCCATGTCGGGCGCCTTGTGCGTCCAACCCTGCTGTGCCGCCTGCTGGGGGGGAGCAGGCCGGCTGGCAGCGTACTCCTCTCCGCCATCAAGGTACTGCAGGATGCCACTGACGACTCTCTTCTTCGAGGGCGGGCTGTGTTGTGGGGGATCAGGCGGTCTCTTGAAAGGTTGTCTCGGCAGTAATTCCGAGCGCTGGGGTGCATGCGCCTCAGGGCCAGGGTCGTGTGCTAGCCACGCGCAAAGAGAGAAATGAAAAACGCCTACCCAATCTACTCTCATTTCAACCCTACCCTGTCTCCCACCTTTGGGCTGGTCGGAAGAAGTGGGTGATGCCGGAGATGGGTCGTCTGTTGAGGGGGGCCAGGGGTGTCCTGCTCTGGGCTTGGTCAGGTTGGTGGGGTTCCCACTTCTGCTCACCCTTCCCCACAGCTCCAGGGCGCTTGAGGTCGTGCACGGCAAGAGCGAGCCGCCTGCGAGCCCCCAGCGTCGGAATGCCTAGGACTCGGAAGTCTTCCTCCGTGAGATGCCGCACAGCGTCGAGCGACAGTCCTGGGGAGGGGCTCAGGCGATATGGGTATGTGAAATCCATTGTGCAGAGTTCAGTGTGGATGCAAGCATAACACCACAACTGCATCACCTGCATTGCTGAAGATTGGGTGGTAGTGCGCCAGTCCGATGGAGGAGAGCCATTCCTGGAGCCTGTCATCGATGTCGTGGGACCGCTCCTCACCATGGGCTTCTGGGAGATCTATGTGGGGGCCTGCCCCTGCCTCGACGCGCAGGCCAGACCGATCGTTTTCGGCATCCGAGAGCTCTTCTGCAGTAAGGTCTATGTTCTCAGTCGCCGAAGTCTGCGTTTCTGGGTTCCCGCATCGCTTCGGGCCTGAGGTTGGCAATAGGGCCACGGACGGTCCGCTGCTGGCTTGGTCGAGGAAGAGACGCCGCAGTCCACTCCCATCCTCCATGTGTACATCAGAACAAATTGCGTCCGTCTAGGCCTTTGCTCTGTTGAGCGTCAGCGTGGAGTGGTGTCGCAGACACCTGTCCATTCGGAAATTGTGCGGTGCGGGCTTTCCCGTCGCGCCCGCGCTCAGGATTTTGAAAACCTCGCTCTAGCAATGGGGATATTTTCGTTGTATGACAGCGATTCAAGGGATGTGATGATGGAGCTCATCCAAGCAATGAAGCGGTAGCCTGTATGACGATGCCCCTCGCTTCAGGGGAGCCGCTGAGGAGATCCAGGCGGGTGGCTGGCCGGGGCACCGATGTGGCCGATGGCACGGCTGCTCGAGTCCTGAAGCCCCACAACGGCATCGGCCCTGCCAAGTCAGTTCTTAAGGGTTCAAAACTGGTCAGATCCCCAAAAGAGCCTGGTGTGAGGACAGGTGGGCGGAGGGTGAGCACTGGTCCAACCAGGGACCATGAAGTCGTACAATGGGCCAAAGGACACCGTCGAGTGGCAGGTGGGTTTGGGGGCGCCGGCATGCGGGTGCAGAGAAGGAAACGTTGATTCGTGGGCTTGATGCCGGAGGCGCAATTCCTGCAGGTGATCCTTGCAGCCACACAGGGCAGCTAGGGGGCTGCTCATGGGCATGAATCGCAACCCTGACCCCAACACCATCATCGAAGGCGTGGACGAGGCCGGGAGGGGACCACTGGCAGGCCCCGTGGTTGCGGCAGCGTGCATCATCCCCCCAGACGTGACCATCCCTGGGTTGGATGACAGCAAAGTGATGAGCGAGGAGGGGCGGGAGACGGCTTACGACCTCCTTACGCAACACCCAGCCGTCGAATGGGCCGTGTGAGTGCGCTGCTTGCTCCCGCATGTGAATACCTGGCAGGGCGTGCATACTGTTTGGCCAAACGATTACATATTGACCCACCAGGCCTGGACCAGGGCGTTGGCTGCCTCAAAGACCCAGACTCATCCCCCGACGCAGGGCTGTGGTGCCAGTGGAGGTGATTGACGGCATCAACATTCTGCAGGCCGCTCTGAAGGCCATGGTCGAGGCTGTGGACGCCCTACCAACGGGGTACCCAGATTACGTCCTGGTCGATGGCAACCGATTGCCCAAGGTGGCAGGGGAGCAGGAGGGTGGGTGGATGGGAGGTGCTGGGTCCTCAGCATGTATAGGACCCCCCTCCATAGCCAGGGGGGCAAGCCACCACATTTCCAGGGCCTGCAGCAGACCTGTGGTAAGTCCCCTACCCTGTGCAGGACATGGACAGGGAAAGGAGCGCCGCCATCATCAAGGGTGACAGCAAGAGCATTCCCATCGCCGCAGCCTCCATCCTCGCCAAGGTTTTCTGCTGGCTGTGGGGGCATGGGTCGACAAACTGCGACACGCCTGAGTCACTGATGGTGGCTGGAGCAACCTGTGGATAGAATCCCTCTCAATTCTTCCACCCCACCCCACAGGTGACGCGCGACAGGCTGATGGTGAGCTTGCACCAGCAGCACCCCGAGTACGGTTTCGACCAGCACAAAGGGTATGGCGTGCCGGCCCACATCGCAGCCATTCGGCAGCATGGGCCATGCCCCGCGCACAGGCGCACCTTTGCCCCCGTGAAGACCTGGTGGCCGGTGGCCAAGGGTGCAGAGGCGTCGAAAGCGTGAATTCTGATGGGCCGCTATGGAAGGACCCTGGCAGCACGGTGTTTAGCCCTAGACTGCTTCCAATCCCAAAGCGTCCCCCCAATTCCTCCCGCGCGCGCGCGTGGTTTCCGATGCCCCCTCAAGCCAGGCTAGATTTAGTCTTGCTTCCCAACCATCGCGGTCAGCCGTCATTACAGCCTACTCGACGATTCTTACATTGTATTCCATTCAGGCGCCGCAGTACTACCCCTCCTGGTTCTTCCCGGAGTGGCCATCTGAAGGGGAGTGTGCTCTCCGACCTCGTCCACTCCCTCCCAGCACCCACCAAGCCACCCATCATAAAGTGCTCGCTCGGCCTGTAATCCATCGCGCGAGTCTCTGCAGGGATGTCGGGAGGAGCCCACTGCTTGGCCTCGGCGCAGTGCCAGCTTGCCACGCCATGTCACCAGTTCCGCAACAGGGGTCGGGCCTTTCCTCGGCCAATGCCCCGCCTCCAGGTGACCCGGTGTAGCAAGGAGGAGAACTCCAAGCCAGCCGCGTCGCGCAGCAAGTCCAGCCCTCCGTCGTCAGGAGGTGGGTTGTCGCGAGGCCTCTTTCCATGGTGGCCAGGCTACCAGGGTGTCTGTTGATCTACACACGCAAACACACACGCACACGACCATCCTCCCGCCCCCTCCGCTATGGAAACCAGCAGGCTCCCCACCCAGCAGCCTGGCCTTCCCCTCCAACAACCTGTCGCCGGACGGCAACCGCAGCCTGTCCAGCAGCGGCCTCCAGCGCACCTCCCTGTCGGGCGGCGTGCAGAACGCGACGCTGCGCTGCGACCTGCCCTCCCCCGCGGTGGCCGTGCGCAACCTGGTGGAGCAGGCCCAGCACGCTCACCTCTGCACCCTCATGTCTGCCATGCACCACCGGCGGGCGGGGTACCCCTTCGGCACGGTGGTGGAGTTTGCCGCCGACGGCGCGGGGCACCCGCTCTTCTCCCTCTCCCCCTTGGCCATCCACACGCGCAACATCCGGGAGGATGCGCGGTGCAGCCTGGTGCTGCAGGTGTGTGCTTCCACGTGGGAGAGGTGGTCGTTTCTATGTTTTTCTGTGTGGCCCTGGGCATCTCGGTCGAGGGCGGCCGAACCAACCCAAAAGATCTGCTGGTCGCTGACTCACCTGCCCCTTTGCATATGCGCTCATGTACCCCTCCTCGTACCCCTCTGTTCAGTTGCCTGGCTGGACGGGGCTGGCCAACGCCCGAGTGACCATCTTCGGGGACGTCTACCCTCTGCCCAGCGACATGCAAGAGGCCGCGCGCGAGGTGGGTTCCTGTTGGGCCCTGTGCTGGCGGCCTGTAACATGAGCTTGGGGCGATGCCGATGCATTGACTCGGGGTGATACTAGGAAGGCATATCGTTCTGCCGCCGGCGTGGTCGAATCTGGCTCCCCTCCCGCGTTTCCAACCAGTGACATGCAGTGTGCCGTGTGGAGTGTGGCTCATTCCTCCCACCCACCCGAGCAGGTTCTCACACCATCGCACTCTGCCCCTTCCCCCAAACTCCTCTTCTTTCCCCCTCCCCTGTCCCAGATATTCCACCAGAAGCACGCCTCGCACGCGGGGGACCCTGCCAAGAAGTCCTCGCGCTGGCTCTCCGGCAACGCCCAGTACTTCCGCATGCACCACCTGCGCGACATCTACTTTGTGGGCGGCTTCGGCACGGTGCAGTGGGTGGACGCGGGGGAGTACGCCGCCGCGACCCCGGACGCCATCGTCCTGCACGGCCCCACCGCCGTCCTGCGTGTGCTCAACGAGCGCTTTGCCGGCGCGCTGCGCGGCCTCTTCGGCGCGCGCGGCGGCGGCGCGGACGACGCCGTGGTCATCTCCATCGACAAGCTGGGGGCGGACGTGCGGGTGCGCCGTGCGGGCCAGCACGCCGTTGAGCGCCTCGTCTTTGACCAGGTAGGGGTGTGTGCGTGTGTGTGTAGGTAGGGGGGGGGGGGGGGGGGATTCGAGGTGGTCACACGGGGGGCAGTGGAGATGGTAGCATGGGGGGAACGTGCAGATGATAATGTGGATGGGAGGCCCGGGGCAGGGGAAGTCGGCTGTAGAGTCTCGTGGGCATGCTGCACATACCCCTGCATGCATCCTCTCGCGCCATGGACCGACCTCCGACGCCCTTGGGAACCCCTTCCACCCACTGCGCCCCCAGGAGGTGGTGACGCTGGAGGATGCCATCGACATCATGCAGCGGCTGACCGCGCATGTGGAGGCGTAGAGGGCCGGGATGGCGGGTGGTGGCACCGGCGAGCAGAACCCAGACTCTTGCTGGCTCACTTTGACCCACCTTTGCATCATATTCGCTTGCTCACCCCACACGGATTATTCCCATACCTCCTGAGCATGTATTTTTTGGCAGAGACTCGGCAGGCAGGCCACACGAGGGAATCCAGAGCCCGCACCGGGACGGGCACAGGCATGCAGACAGGAACAGCAGAGCATCCAGCTCCTGCCAGAAAGATGTTTCAATGGTTCAGAGCGGTGCCGATGAGGCAGAGGCGGCGGGCTGCAAGCACAGATGGCTGCACAGAGGCAGCTCCGGCGCCGATGCAATGGAGCAGTACAGGCCGCCAGGGTTGCCAGAGCACTGTCTGGCCATACACAGGGGAGCAAGCCGAAGATCATAAATCCGGAACCGGCAAAATAGGAGGCACCTCCATCGCCCGAGGGGTCTGCTGAGCGGGGTCACACAACAAGATCCTCCCCGCATCAGGGAGATGTGGCGCCCCTCTCAACATTTAAGGCTCCGGCTTGCGGGTACGGGTGCTGCTGCGTCCTGAGTTGGCCAAGCCGCGGCGGCTCCCCAGCTCCGGGCGGATCCAGGGTGTGGGTTCCTCCCCCCAGCAGGTGCGACGTCCCTGACCCGTGCCTGCAGCGAAGCGTCGCCAGCAGGGCGGCCTGGTGCTGGTGCAGCGCCTGGAGGTACTGCGGCGGGGCCGTCAGCCTGGCCCGGTCGCGGCAGGGCTGGCACCAAGCCGCTGCCTGAATGTTATTGTGTTTTAGGGAGAAGGGAGGAGCAGCATGTGGGGACTGCAACTGGGATGAAAATCGGCAAGTAACCGAGGAGTCCGGCGCTATAAAGCCGAGTGGATTGGTCAGCAGGCAACACCCGCCCAGGTCGACCCAAAACAATAATACGTACCGCGAGGGAGGCCAGGGCCCCGCCGTCGTCGCACAGCGTGGAGCGCCCGCTCGGCGCTTTCTTGTAGTCCCGAGGGGGCGACCGCGCGGCGCAGGAGCTGCGCCGTGCCTTGGCGCCCCAGCACAGCTCGGCGGCGTCGCCGGCGCATGATTCCGGCCGGGCCTCCGCGCTCGGGAACCGCGTGCGGCGCCGCACAGCTGGGCGTGGCTGCACGCAGCAGGACGCCCCCATGGTGTTCATGCCAGGGTCACAGGCTTCGGCAGGCCTGCGCTGACGAGAGACTGGTGCGGGCTCGGGGCGCGCCGACGCTGAGGAGGCGTCGGTCGAGGTGGCGGGCGCGGCGGCGCGCCCGGTCGCATGCCGGCGTGGGGCATTCAGACCCGCCGGGGGTCGAGCAGGGCTGCCGCCGGGCACCGGCCGCTGCTCCACCTCGCAGTCGGAGGTGGAAGTGGCGGGGAAGGTGGCCCTGCGGTGCCTCAGGGGCGGGGTATCCAGCTGGCAGTGGCCGGAGGCGCCAGGGTATCGGTCGGCCGCGCCGCCCGCGGCACTGCCACGGCTGGCCTCCGGCGGCGGTGCCGTCTGGGCAGCCACCTCATCGGTTCGCACCAGCACCCGCACGATGGAGGGCGGGGAGATGGTCTTCCCCGGGGTCAATCGCCACATGTCCGGGTCGTCAGGGCACCTTGCAGATAATAGAACGTGGGAGGGTGTGAGGTCGACGTCCGCCATCATTTTGCTGCCAGGAGCCCCAGCCAGGCAGGCTCGGGTGCTCGGCGTCCACCACACCCACGAGCGCATGCCTGAGGCACACACCTCTCAAATCGCGGGTTGGTGTAGAGCGTATGCCGAATCTGGCTCTTCCAGTGCTCGTTCTGGGTGATAAGGCGGGACCCCCCCGACCGCCGGTAGGCGACCCGGCCTCGGCTGTGGCACAGCTGGTAGATGTGTGCCAGGCTGGCCTGGCCGCCGCGGGAGGCAATGGAGGCGTGGATGAGGTCCTGGACGCTGCCAAAGGCCTCCACCTCTAGCACCCGCACCTCGGCGGGGGTGGAGGGGCCATGGGGACAATCCTGGGACCCTGCGGTGCGGAGAGAGACGGGGTTCCATGGCCCATTGCCACACACTGGGTGCTGAAACAAGCTATCTGAAGCTGGAGCGGGCACCGCCCATCCTTGGTCAAGCACCCCTCCATCTCAGACCAATGCAATCGGTTCAGGGCCAGGCAAGAAGTCGCACCTTTGGCCAAGCAGATGAGACAGGCCGCGGCGTCGTTGATCCTGTCGTAGTAGGGCATCGAGGGCATACTAGGAGCCGAAAGGTGAACTCCGGGCCGTGAAGTACTGATGACCGGGCGTCGGCCTGCTGGTGACGTGCGCCAGCCCTCGGTGCAGGTGCCGGCCACTTCTTAAGTGCTGGGGGCCGCGCAACGTTACCGACTCAGGTAGGCATGCCAGAGACGGTGTATGAGAGAGTACGAGTGCGCTCTGCGCCCCTTTATTCAGCTTCAGGGCGGCCTGGAGCTCCTCGGTCGCTCGGCGTAAACGAGCTCGAAGCGGCAGTCTCTTGCGATTGGGAGCTTCGTTCCGGGGTTGAAGGACCCTGTATTACCAGGTGAATCGATGATTTTCACCTAGTTGCGCATCTTGGTGATCGCGAGCGCGGTTTCACTCCTAGCCCAGCTAATCACCCCCGTCCCAAGGGATGCATCTTCTGGTCCCGACAGGCTGGCTGGGGATTGGGATCGTGGCGGGAAATGCCCCACGCTTCCTTGAAGGATGGGGTCAGGGCCGAGACTCCGCCCCAGCTCTGCCCGTGAATCGATTGCTCCTGGCACGGCAACCCCACAATTAAAGGCAGAGTAACTTGCCCCCGGAGTCTCGTTGCCAAGGTCCATATGAATACGCATCTGCTCCCATCCAAGCCACATACCTTGATCTGCGGTCTGGGGCTATTCCCTACCATCCAGAGGATCGAACCCCCACTAGCACTCCTTGGCACCGCCACAGCCCCGCACATACGGTGTCAGGGGATTGCAAGGTGCCATGTCATTGTATCGCACGACTGCTAGGGGCCAGACCATGCACCGCCTCGCTTTCCTCCTAACAACGCCCCCACCCAGCTCCTCGATCCGACGAGTCCACCTCCCTGCGCGGCGTACGCTGTCGACGCCATCCTCTCGGAACCCTGCTGCAATCATAGCATGGGCATATTCGACTGAAGAGCTCGCTCGCCAGCGCTCTGGCCCCAAAGATCGTCAACGCTCGAGAAGCAGGCTTCAAGAGAAAACTGGAGAGAAATGGCTCCCAGGGTACGTCGTACACCATCTGGCTTACAGAGAACATGCTTGTAGCATCCTGCGCATTATATGTCATGCCGGGGCACTTGCTGGGATTGCGATACGGAGTGCGAGTCCCTGTTGCACCTCATTTGGTCCCACCTCATGGGTCATTCTCGCCACCTGCGCAGGGTCTAACTGTGCCCCAATACGCCTCCGAAATAGTGCGCAAGTACATGCGCCATGAGTTTGCAGGGAATGATCAGAAAAACTTAGAGATCGCGTCCGAGGAGGTGTTTGGTGAGCTGGGGTGGGGGGCAGTTGGTGGGGTATCCAGGTCAAGGTTCACGAGCCTGCAGGCTTGTGTGATGCGCTCTTGGGCCAAGCCTCATCCATGCCTTTATCAAACAGTGCTGATGCAGAAGCTGGTTGTGGCGACCGGCAACAAGTCGGAAGACTCAAAGGCACCCTTCAAGGCCATTCGTAATGCCATCGACCAGACCTACTTCAATGGGTAAGCCATGGGAGACCTGCGGTGGGGGTTTCAAGGTGGCTGCATTGCCATGCATCGCTCATTTGGCTGTGCAGACAATCCCCCGCTGCTGCATGCGAGGCTGCTGCCCAGGAGGTCGCCGCGGAGGGAAGGAGCCATCCCACAATGAGTGGACGCCATCTCCCCCGCTCCCCATACCCGGCAGGGATGGTGGCTCCAGCGTGGACGAGCTCTTTGCCCTCTACACCCAGCTGGAGCGCATTTGCTGGGATAGGCTGCGACAGGGCCAGGACCCTCAGGGCCCCAGCGCGGTCCTGCAGATCCTGCGGTACCGGCTCATTCGCCTGGTGGGTGACGGTGCAGCATGGCGCCTGCATGTGCACTGCCACGGGCAGCCTGCACGCCGTCTGAAGAAGCCGTCCTGCATGTTCCTCTGCCTGGTATCCTGTTCTGCAGCTCATCGGACCACCATCCCACCCCCCCCCCCCCCACCTCAGGTCACGGGCGACACCTGGGAGAAGCAGGCCGAGCTGCGCCTGGGAGTCCTCCGGCTCATCCACGGCTTTGCGGTGAGCGCTCTGGTTTTTGGTGATGTGGGGTTTGGCGGGGCGGGGGCCATGGCGGGGCCGCGGCGTTCGCACGCGTCTGGCACGGGACCTCCGACCCACCACGCGCCCGGTGCCGCATGCCGTCCTCCCAGGAGGCACACGCCCAGGCCGTGGTGCATGGGGCCCCCGTGGGGAACCCAACGGCGTCGGCCCAGGGCGCCATGAAGGGGCTGGCCCGCTCCCTGTCCTACGGCTCCAGGCGCTCGGGGGGGCTGCATGGGGCCGAGTTCTGGGCAGAGGCTCTGGAGGAGATCTACAAGGCGCCTGTGAGATGGGATCTGGAGGCTCTGGACGCATGGGCCTCGTGCATGGTGGTGGGCAAGACAGGGGCTGTGTAGAGTGGCCATGGACGCAAGTCTGTGCCCACCCTGCACCATGACCCCTTGGCACAACAGTTTCCTTCTGCTCGTCATCCCTGCCCTCCATCCTTTGCACATTCCACAGGGGGCCAAGCTGCCAGCCCTGCTGCGACTGGTGCTGACGCACGACGCGCGCACGCCTGCTGTGGCCCCCAATGCCGGCGCTGCCGGTGCGGGGAGGGCAACCTCGCTCGCTTCGACCTCCCCGACCTCCCCACCCCGACCCCTGACCTCACACGTCTCGGTGCGGCGGCGTGTTGGGGGGTGCATCCTGGGGATGGCGGGCCAGAGGCCGGTGGGGAGTTGTGCACGGCTTGTCTAGGGACCAAGTTCGTGCACGCAAGAACACGCCGTCAAGTGCTGAACCCAACATGCTCTGCTGCAGGTGGATTCCGGGTCACGTACACTGACGCAGCCACCCCCAAAGGTCCTGGACGACCTGCTGTCTCTGGATTTCGACCCTCCCTCACCGGTGAGCCTGTGCAGAGTGGTCGGATGTGTGTACCGTGGCCGGGTGATGGGGTGTCGGGCTGTAGGCAGGTTGGAGGGGGGTACCCGCCAGGCCAGCAGTACGGTGGTTTGAAGAGTGCATGCCCCGAACCCTGCCCTGACCTTCTCCCCCTGCTATCCCCTTCACAGGTCCAAGCAGCGCCCTCTCAGCCGACTCGGGACGACCTGCCCCCCATCTACAACCTGGTGAGCAACACGAATGTGTAGTTCCTGGGGCCGTGCATGCTGGGTGCGTGCTGGGGGACAGGCTGGCCAGTCGCTCGCGGTTATTCTGGATGTCGAAGAGGTGCTGGGGGTGCTTGATCTTCATCACATACCTCCAGTGCAGACTGGTGGTGGATCCTGCACCCTCTGCAAACCCTGCACCCAAGCTCCTGACCAGCAAACCCACATCCCCTCCAATCTCCCCTTTTCGCCCTTGCAGAACATCAGCAATTCTCTGGGAGTGGGGAGCGCAGGAGTGGCAGCGCCCCCTGTATCCACCGCTGCACCCGCCCCGGTCCAGGTCCCAGGGTCCTGGTCCCCAGACTTCTCACAGATGGCTGGCAGCCCGGACGCAGCCCCTGTGCCAAGCTCAAACGGGCACGGCGGTGCGCCAGGTGAGCCATGGTCTTATGGACTGGTCCTCATGTGACAGCCTGCAGTCCAGCCCTGATGTATAGACCAGGGGGACTGGAGTGATTTGCAAAGCAGCCACATCACTCCAGCAACAGCCATTGCCCCCATTTCCTCCCCCGCCAGCCCCGGCGGACGACGTGTTCTCCAGCTTCCAGGGGTCGGGCGAGCTGCGCCGGTCCGTGAGTGGAAAGGAGGACCGGCCCTGGTACCTGCAGCACGTGCCGGCCGGCGTGCCACTGCGCAGCCCGGCGACCCCCACCCCACCCGTCTCGCCCCTGGGCCACCCCAGCTTCTCGGCGGAGGCCTTCGCCGCGCCCCTCGCCTCGGCCGGCTCCCAGGAGGGCCAGGTGCGGTGGTGCGCTCCAGTTGGGGGGGAATGCCCAGAAATCGTGCCCCCTGTTGTATGGTGTGTTCTGTGCACCTGCAGCCACACACCCTTTGGAGTCTGGTTCACCTTGCGACACCCCCTCCTCATGCCTCCCTCCTGTTCAGAAGTGGGTGTCGCCCACCCAGGCGACCTTCCAGGATCTCGTGCAAACGTCACTGGGCGATGCCCTCAGGCCTGCCCCGCCCCCACCCGTGTCCCAGACCGGCGGCGCCGGTCCTGCCTGAAGCGTCGCCGCCACGCTGCCTGCCTCCCTATTCCGCCTGGCAGGCGGGCGATCTGGCCAGGGAGAGGGCTGCCTGCCCCATGGACATACTGTTGACACTGACGCGCTGACTCAACACACCGTCTGAGGACGGAAATCGCGTGCCGCCACTCTGTTGCCATTGCTGCGCCTGCCTGCGCGGCAGGGCACCTCTGTATCCTGCCACTCGCTTGAGTAGTTGTGCCATTTCAAAGGGCGTGTGGGGAGTACAGGGCATCGGTCTTTCAGGGCAGCGTAATAGGTACCAAGCGCTGGTGGTGGGGATTGGGACACGGTGGCTCGAGGTGCGCCATGCATGGAGAGCAGGGACGTTGAGCGTGGCTGCCTCCAGCTTGGCACCAGGTGGTGCTTGCACCTTGAGCCCTCCTCTGGACACGCGTGCAAGGGTGCAAGGGCTGGGACGGCTACACCGCGTTTCAGCAGAGCAGAGAGGGGCCAGGCTGCGGCTGCCCAGTGAATGATCAGGAATTTGCCAGATCGGCCACTCACTTCCGCCGTAGCCCAGGGACGCGCAGCATGCCTGCCAGGGGACAACGCAGGGCTGCGTCGGATGCATGGGACGTGGAGCATGGCGCCTGCAGGTGCCCCGGGCCCTGCTTCTGAAGAAGCACCCCAGCCAATGCCCACACATGCAGCAGTACCAACAACCACTGGCATCGCTGGTCCATGCCAGGACCACCAGTCCAGACACAGAGCGCTCACACCCACCTCCAGGCTGGATGAGGCGCGGCGTCAGCGGCTTATCCTGCCTGGCTGCAGGCAGCCCCGAGGCAAGGGGCGTGGGCAGCTTCCTGCCCAGCCGGGCGCCGGAGTCATCGCTGCCGGGCGCGGGGTTCTCCTTCCCTGCCAGCGACACGGGGGCGCGCGGGGTGGCCTTGGGGCCGGAGGACGCCAGGCTGGTGCGGCGTGGGGTGCCCGCCTCCAGCCTGGGCGTCTTGCTGGGGCGGGGCGCGGGGGCGGAGCCCGCCGAGGCCCTGGGCTTTGCGGCCTTCGTGGCCTTTGGGGCGGGTGCGGCGGCCTTGGCCTTCCCCCTGCCCTTGGCCTTGGGGGGAGGGGACTCCTCATCTGCAGGGTCGGGACGCGGGGAGGGTTGTTGAGGTCAGCAGGCTTGCATTGCAGTACCCTGGCTGCACACAGCCTGCTGGGGAGTAGCCCAGCCAGAACGCATTTGGGCTGCTCATGCCAGAGATTCCTCAGCATGTGCCGCCATCTAATGGTGAATTGTCATGTAGTTGATGCCTGATCAGGCCGAACACCTGCACCCGGTGCAGACCTGACAGGTTTTCGCTGGAGTCGCCATCATCCGAGTCCTCATCCGAGTCCGCGGAGTCATCAGAAAAAGCCTCGAAATCTTGGTCACCTGGGATCAGCAAGAGCGAGCGCAGGAGTCACAATCACTCCTCCATGCCGCCCATAATGACGACGCCACATCACACCAGGCACTCCCCCACGAGCTCCTCCCCTTCTCGCCTGGTTTGTCCTCTACTCCCGCCTCTTCATCATCGCTTGCGGCTTCTATGATGGCGGCGGACTTTCGGCGCACGCTGCGCTTGGCCCTGCCGGACTCCTGACTGGGGTCTCGCTCCTCTGTGGCGACCTGGGCCGGGCCTGGTGATGGCGCGGCATGCTCGATTTCCGACACCACATCCTCTCCTCCGGGAGGCGATCCTGCCATGGTGACTGCTATCGGCTCCTCAGATGCCTGCACGGCGTTGAGTGCGGCCTCGCAGTGAGCATCAGTCACCGGCTCTGGCGGGGCCTCGGCCTTTGTTCTGAGGCTCAAACGACTCATGTCTGTGTCGGAATACACTGATTTCACGTAAGGTATGAATGTAGAGCGTCAGGCTGCGCTCCGGGCGACGCAGTAGCATGCGGCATATCTGGCTGTGCTCGAAGCGTTCGGATTCGGCATGTCCTGCATGCTGAGCTTGGAGACCTCGCGCTTCCTCACCAAGCGCGACTGCTGCTACAGGGCGGTAGGGCTACTTACACACTTCACGTACATGCTCATGATGGTAATGTAGAGTGTATATGTGGCAGATTGACTGCGGCAATTGATAGGGCCGGTGGGCTGTTGGCGCTGCCATGGTGCGCTGCCTCTACGAGGTGCTGGAGGTGGAGAGGGACGCCGACGATTCTGCCATCCGCCTGGCCTACAGAAAAGCTGCTTTGAAATGGCATCCAGGTGCGATAGCAGTGTTATGTGTCGCCATGCCCTGCTCTTAAGTGTTCCCCAGAGTCTCTCATGCACTGCTCCTTTGGTTTTCCTCAGAGTCGCTCATACCGGCTGCACCGATGACCTCCACCATGTCCTCCACCCACATTGACCCCAGACAAGAACCAGCACCAGGCCGAGCTCGCAGGGGACAGATTCAAAGAGATTCAGAACGCATATGAGGTGCTGAGCGACAAGCATGAGCGCTCATGGTGAGGAGGCGGCGACTGTGTTCTCGGGGTGCCCCCACGCCAGCCCTCCCTGTCCACATGCCACAGAGTGACCTTGCAGAGAGATAGGCTGCTTCTGACATGAAACCTCCTGAGACCATCCTCCCCCTTCCTCTGACATCCTGTAGGTACGACGGCCACCGTGATGCCATCCTTCGATCTGGGGACCGACACCAAGCGGGCGCCAGCAGCATGGGCGGCCCCGAGCAGGCACCGGATGACATAAACCTGTATGCCTACTTCTCGTCCACTGCCTACTCTGGATTTGGGGACGGCCTGCGGGTGAGTACGCGTGGAGACAGGGAGGGAGTGTGCAGCTGTGGTTGGAGGCTGTCGGTGATGTGCCCGGCACGAGGATGTCCATGGTCGGCCGGCACCGGGCTGATCAAGGGAGGCCACAACAGGAATGGGTAGTTTAAGATGGTCCCTAGCTTGCTCGTTTGATCGGTTGACACTCTCCAGTCCTCTTGAATAAGATGCTGAGGGACACCTTCTCCATAACACCGCAGGGCTTCTATGGCGTATATTCCGGGCTTTTTGAGCGGCTGGCCAAGCAGGAGGCCGAGAGTCGGGGTGGGAAGAGCAGGACGAGCTTCGTGTACCCCTCCTTTGGTGAGACGTTTTGTGGGAGTTTTGAGTATGCATGGTGTCATGGGATGTACCAGCATGGCCCTCCCTCGTGAAATTATGCGCTGAGATAGTAAGCTATTTCCTTTGTGCACATGGAGCGGCGAGCCACGAGCCCACCAGCAGCCTTGGGAGGGTGCATTATTGCGACCTGCCTTCATCCTTGATCAACCTGTGCTGCATTGAATAGCTGCACCGCTTCAGCACCCGCTCCCCGCTCCACACTGCAGGCACCTCCGCCTCTGCATGGCCAGAGGTGGCGACCTTCTATGCCGAGTGGTCCAGCTTCTCGTCTGCACGCAGCTTTTCCTGGGCCGACCAGTACAACCCGGCCACGGCCCCAAACCGCCAGGTGAGCGAGGAGTGGGATGCATGGCGGGGCGAGCACTCACATCGATGCGCTGCAGCAGCGCATGCCACATCGGAGCACATTTGTGGGAGTGGCGCTCAGCAAACCCGCCAGCATGCAGCTCGTGCACCCCTGCTCAGGAAGCAGATTGACCAAAGGAAGCAGATTGACCAAGGGAAGCGAGTGCCTCCTTGCCTGCCCCACTGCGGCTGCACTGCGTGGGAGGCAGACACTCAGCCCCCCCCTTTTCCCGGCCATGCTGCCAGGTGCGGCGCATGATCGAGGCTGACAACGAGAAGGCGCGCCGTGCGGCACGCCGCGAGTTCAACGAGAATGTGCGGGAGATGGTGGCGTTCGTGAAGAAGCGGGACAAGCGCGTCCTGGCGCATGCCGTGGAGGAGGCGGCGCGGAAGGCCGAGGCTGCGGCGCTGGAGGCCGAGAGGTGCGATTCGGCGGGGCTATGGGGTTGGGATGGGGCCCTTGCCTTTAAGATGTGCAGATACTATGGAACGCTCCCTCTGAACCATGGAAAACCTCGAGGATAGGAGTTCTGTGTCAAATTGAAGCTTCCTGTTCCTGAAAAATGGCACATTTGCATCACTCGATCCATGGTGTCAGCAATTGATCCGGGTTCGATTCCCGGCGAGCGCATCACCCCCGCGCTTGTAGTCCAATGGTTAGGATAGTTGCCTTCCACTCCCTTTTGCGGTTTTCTTGCGCGCTTGGTTGATTGAAAACCTTCCGACCACATGCAATGTCTTTCATGTTTCGTTTGGTGAAGTCCATGGCGCTCCACTCCCGTTGTGCAGGAAGGAGCGTGAGAAGCAGGAGCGTCTCCTCAAGGCACGGCAGTACAAGGAGGCTGCATGGCTGGCAGCAGAGGAGGCAGGCTCCTCAGGCTCCGAGGCTGACCTGCAGGAAGAGGAGCTCCACACCTTTTACTGCATGGCATGCGACAAACACTTTAAGAGCGAGCGTGCGCTCCAGAACCACTCGAGGTGGGCAGAGGGGGGTGGGTACGCGGGGCGCCGAGTCCATCCAGGTTGCTTGCCAGGGTGTGCACGCCACCTGCATCACTGCGTGACCGCCGCCTGTTCACTGCACTCTGCAGGTCAAAAAAGCATAAGGAGGAGGTGGCGCTCCTGCGGGCTGTGATGCAGGAGGATGAGTTGGTCCTTCTGGACGAGGTGGCTGATGGGGCAGGTCCAGGTGCACTCAACAAGGCTGAGGAGCCTTCCGAAGATGGGGCAGTTCGCCTGCCCAGTAGTGAGGAGGACGATGAGACTGACGAGCAGTTCAGCTCAAGTTCCGAGGTTGGCTCGGGGGATCGAGGAGCGCCAGACAGGCCCGGGGTTGCAGACAGGGAGAGTGCCTCGACCGGCAGCAGTGCAGATGACAGCACGAGTGCTGGGGAGACGACAGGGGAGGACGAGGGGGACAGTGCGGAGGAGGACGACGACGACGATGATGACGGCGATGATGATGACGGCGATGATGATGACGAGGCCATGCTGCAGCGCATGCTGGCGGCGCAGCGGCAGCTGCCAGGAAGCCGGCGCAGGCGGCAGCGAGCGGCCGACAGGGCGGCGGCGGAGCTGGAGGAGCTGCGACTCGACGCCGCGGACACGTCCGGCGAGGACGAGTCCGTGGCTGGCAGTGAGGGTGAGAGCGAGGCTGAGGGCCGGGACGCACCCGCTGGCGGCAGCGGCCGCGCCAGCGCTGATCCGGGCGAGGGGAGCGGGGGCGAGGCCTCGGGGCCCGGCAGGGGCAGCTGCCCGCCGGCACGGCGAAGAAGGCGAGCGGCCAAGGAAGGGAGGAAAGCAGGGCCAGCGCAAGGGGCGGTGCCGCCAGCTGCCACCGTGCTCATCTCGAGCGCTGCCTCTAGGAAGAAGAAGAAGGGCAAGGGCGGCGCGGGCGCTGCCGAGGTATGCGCGGAGCATTCGTGCCAGGTGTGCAGCCAGGGCTTCCCCTCCAGAACGCAGCTGTTCAAGCACATTGCTGCAACCGGGCATGCAGCTCTGAAGAAATAAAGCGTGAGTCTTGTTGTGGCCAGCTTATAATTGTGTGAACATACGAAAGCTGTATCTCTGCCTTCTGCTGTATCCAGGCTTGCGATCTGGAGGTAACTGTCACTCGGCGCGCAAAGATCACCGGTCGATGGTCCATCCACATCGTCGGCAATTTACAGGCCATCTGGGGAAACTTCCTGCTGTCCCGTGCCAAGTGACCAAACATGTCGGCAAAAACCCCATGCATGGCTCCTCCATGTTCGGAACTGCTCGGATCCTTTCATGAGGTCCACATCGATGCCGCAGGCTCACCGCTCGCCTCTGACTCATGCGCTTCAAATTCGCAGCTTGGCTACTGATTAAGCAATTCGAAAGCCACACAGGATGCTGATCAGCCGCGGTTCCGGCGTGTGGAGGAAAAGAAGCCCCATGCTGTGGACCCTCATGCAGCAGCCCCATGCCAGGGGCACCCTTCCAGCAAGAAGGGCGCCTCATGACCGGAGTTGGAGGCTCTGTGCCATGGAATCTCCTGAAAAGGTGCTGGGAGTCCGGTCTGGAGCCCCCCTTTCTGAGGTCAGGGCGGCGTACATTGCGGGGATGAGGAGGCTTCACCCAGACGTCAACCCAGACCAGGACACGACGGCAGCAGCCACTGCTCTCAACGCCGCCTACCTCAAGCTCAGAGGTTCATCTCAAACCTTGAGTACAGAGGAAGCTCCCTTCAAGGATGTATTTGACATCACAGAGATCGAGCCAAGCGTGCCATTCGTCAACCCATTCGCATGTCGCAATGTACCCTTTGAGAACTGGGCAGCGCTCCAGCAGGTTAGCGTGTTGCATGCGTGATGCAAGCGCCCTTGGGGATGTGAGCAGGGGTGGCCGACAGTGGCCATGCAGGCTGTATGGTGTTGTTCCTGGCATGAGCAGGCGGACTGTTCCGCATCAGAGTACTATCTTGCCACGTCATGGTGTCAGCGCATGCCCTCCTGCTGCAGATTGCGACAGACAGTCCTGAGGCTCCGGACGAGGCGCTGAGGAGGGCAGGAGTGCTCGCTTCAGACTCTGCAGTCGTGTACTTGACCCCTGCCCAGGTGCAGGCGCTTGAGGAGGAGCTGGCGGCATCCGGGGACCTTTTTGACCCTGCCAGTCTGGAGTCGACCTTTTACTATGTGACTGATTGTCTGGCGCGGGCACAGTGGTCGAACAACCGATGGCAGTAGGAGCTACGTTGTTGCGGGAATTTGATGTGAGACAACATTCCAACTTCCTGGCTCGTAGACAGCAAAGAGTATGCGGCTGGATATCTCGCCCTGACATCACAGGACACGCGATGTCTTCATCGGCACTGTAGCTCAATGGATAGAGCATCCGCCTACGGAGCGGAAGGTCGTAGGTTCGACCCCTATCTGTGTCAGACATTTTCCATTTTTAGTCCTGCGCTTTGACAGAATGCCGTTCATTTTACTTCCATCCAGACGTATGAAACAGGGCTATGTAGATGCTTGCGGTGAGAGCTTGCCTGTAACATCACCTGCAAACATCTCGATGGGTGGTTGCCTTCCCCCTTGGGCTTCCCGAGCCAACCCCAAACCAGCAAAAAGCACACTTCGTCACGGGGACTTCCCACGTGGTCACCCACCGCAGTACTATTCCCGCCCAATCCAGCTTAATTGCCGAGGTCTAATGGGATCGGATGCGTTCTGGATGGTATGAACGAAGCATGGAGGCAACCAGATACCCAGGACCCTATGCTGAAGTTAGATTCTGTGTCCAACCTCAAGGTGCCGTGGTTCTTGAACCCACAACCCTGCACCCCGCTTCCTACATCCCTTGAGCCCCTGCTCTCTGTAGGATTCCCTTACGGGCATGCACTCAGTTCCCTCGACTGGTCAGACCCCAACCCGAGGATCAGGGCTCCTGGAATCGTTATTTTCAAAATCGGTGGCAAGATAATGGATCATCTTCTCAAAGAATGGACGTTTGTAATGGACAGGCACATGCCATGCAGGGGCAGGAGGCGGCGGCTCTTAGACCCTGGCCACCTCGCGCTGCGTGAGCTGCTCGTACACTTCCCTGACCTTCAGCCCGGTGATGACCTGGAAGAGCCCCGTGCCGTTCTTGGACCCCGGGAAGTTGCTGTTCTTCAGCATCTGTTGGGTGCCGGAGGGGTGATGCAGTGCATGAGGCTCCAAAGGAGAAGAAGGCCATGCTGTGACACTCCTGGCAGCACGATGTGCGTCCCGGGCAAGCTGGGGGCCGCACCTCATGCCATATGCCAAAAATCCTATGATGCTCTTCACCCCCATTCCCCATGCCCGCATCTCCTTGGCAATGTATCATCTCCTCCCCTGCCTGCAAAATTTCCCAGTCCACAATAGGAGCCCAACATAGGGTCCCCCCCCCTCTTTCCGAGCACAAAGACCCCCACCTGCTGCGTGATCTCGCCATAGAACTTGGTGGAGGTGTTGGAGAGGTGCGACTCGACGTAGATCAGCTCCTCCAGCTTCTCAAACTGCCCGTCCATCTCCAGGACCGAGACATCCTCGCCGTAGTAGGTGTCTGGCCCATAGAAGAGCTTGATGCCTGATTTTGGAGAAGAGAAGACAGGGTGGGGGAATCATGCCAAGCAACTACTCTTCAGCCTACACGTACAAGGCAGGTGCCAAGTCAAAAGCACACGGCAATGCCGTGTTGGCAAAGGAGAGGGTCTTGTCAATGCTATTGGTCGCTCCTCATGAATCCAGGGTGGCACTCAGGCCCGGCCATGCTCCCGACACAGAACTACACTGCCAATCCCAAATCCCTGCAGCCCACCAGCAAACCCCTACCACGCACCCGGGAAGGAGCAGGTGAGCTTGCGGCCGCACGGCACCCAGGAGATGGTGGACCCCTCGTCGAAGAGGTAGCTGGGGCTGAACAGCTCGCGCCCCTCCTTCTGGATCAGGCGCACCCTCAGGATCTTGCCCTCCTTCTCATCCGGCACCAGGTCAGTTGGCAGGACCTACGCATGATGAAAGCCGGGATGAGTTCATCCTTGCAGCGCATGGCTCGAGGGATGCATGGGAACGAAATCCCTGGATGGAACAGATGGCTACGCATGCCAGGCCCGTGACCGGAACATGCCAGTCCCTCTTCCCACATTATGACAACCCCTCGGTCCTCATTCGCCCCCTCCCACACACCCGCTTGCCCACACGTGTGTCATGCATGGAAGCCAAACCAGCACAGGACCCCCGATACTCACTCCCCCCACCCCACACACATCTCAGCCCACCTGGATGATGACATCGGCCTTGGCCTTCTGGGGGTCGATGTAAGCGTCGAAGTCGGGTTTCCGAGACTCGATGCTGGCCTTGATGCTCTCCAGGGAGTGCCCCCTCTCCTCCATGTCCCTCTGGATCTTCCAGGCAAACTTGGTGGCGTCGGAGATGTCCAGGTAGATGCGGAAGTCGATGAGGTCGTTCACGCGATCATCGAAGAAGGGGTGCAGCCCCTCCACGATCAGGATCTTGGGGGGAGTGATCTCCTCCGGCGGATCCAGCGCCCCCGTCACGTGGTTGTAGATGGGCTTCTGCACAGACTGGCCGTTCTTCAGGGCCTTGACCTGCAGTGGCAAACGTGGGGGCCAAGAAGGTGTGCCACAGCAGTTGGTGAAGCGCGGTATGACCTGGGTCAATCCGCGCACCGGGCATGACCTGCAGTCGAGCCACGCCAGATGCTTCTCGACGCCCTCGGGCGCGCGGCGCATCGGCAGGGTCTGGCAGCCTCAGATGGCACAGGATTTGACTGCCTCACAACCCTACCCCCCCTTCTTGCAGCATCTGCAGGGGCCTGTAGCGTTGCAATGATAGCAGCTCATCCGACCCGATTCCCAACCTCCTTCAATGCCTCACCTGCTCATACATCAGGTCAAAGTTCTGGGCGCGGGGGTGAAGGGCGGTGACCTTCTCCACCTTCCTCCCGTTCCTGTCCAGGGAGTGATAGTCGTCCAGGCAGATGACGGTGGTCATGTCGGAGATGAGGGTGTTGGAGTCGGGATTGCCACCTGATGGGGGCTTGGGCACTCCGCCAAACACGCCTGTCACCCGGCGCATGAAGGTGGACTTGCCACAGCCAGAATCCGCCGCCAGGCCGATGACCACCGTCTGCCCGGGACCAGCGGCCCGGATGACGAGCATGGGGCGGCATGTCACGGGTCGGTGCCTAGGGGTGAGGGCGAGCCGGTGCATGCCAGGTTGCCTGCCCGATCGCAGCATGCCGCTGGGGGCAGCGGGGACCATGCATCGCGTGGCCATGGCAGCAGGTCGGGAAGGGTGTCGAGTGGTGGAGGGGCGTGCGGGGAACCACGGTTTCACCGGGCATGGGAGGGTCGGGGTTGGACAAACCATGACGCTCGACCCTGGGTTACCCACATGGAACCGAGGGGCCCCTGCATGAGAAGTGCCCGCGATTTCCGGCCAAATCTGACGACGGCCAGGTTCAGGCACAACGATGTAGATTCCGAGACACCGATTCATCGCTCCCAATACATGGAAGTGGGTTGCTGATTGCCTCCGTGCGATGGGATCGGGCCTGCGAGGGACTTTGTCGATCAGGGCGGGGAATCCTCCCATCGATGATCCGGGATACCGGCGGAGTGGGACCCGCCCCACACCCCGACAGGCCCCACGCCCTCGGTCCGACCAGCTCCCGAGCGGGAAGGAGAGGGTCGATCTCCTGTGCCGGGTCCTCCGCAGCCCCGCAGGGGTGGGAGTGGTTCTGACAGCTGTCGCGGTCCAGGGCTATAACGCTGCATCCAAGGCAGGTCTGGTGCCATGCCGGGGGGCCTGGCTCTGATTGGTGGCCTAAAAGGCTTCACAGGATACTGATAAATTACTACACACCTGAAAACAGGTCATCTCAAGGATGGGGACCGGAGCTGACAAGTCTCCAGGGCTCTTGCAGTCGCCTGAGGGAGAGGCCCCCTCCGAGTCCATTATTCCAGCAGAAGATGCTGGGGCAACAGCCTCCTCCCGTATAGCCCTATCTGAATCCCAGAGATCAATGCTAGGGAAGGTCTGGCTCTCAGCTGCCTTTGGCTTGGTGAGGATTAGGGAACGGGGGTTTCCGCATCTGAAGTGCGGACAGGCAATGGTGAGGGACGTGGCACAATTCAGCAATGTTGGCCTGTGTGGCTTGCAACCAGTGCTCCCTATTCTCTCATGCTTGCAGAGGAAGGGTTTTGACACCCTGGATGCCCTGATCTTCCAGCCACCCCCAGCGGGCGCCGCCACACAAGGTGCATTCCTCTCAGCACCTTGTGATTGCCCAGCTTGGTCTGCCTGTTTTTTGCTTGAAGGGAAGGATTAGACCCCTGAGCTCTGCCACACCCTGATCAAGGCCTGACCGCGCTTGCCCCGTTCCTATGCCAGTCCATAAGGGCCTGCTCACCGTTACTCTCCTCAATTGACACAGGCACGCTTGTCCACGCTGCAGCTAGCCAGGGGCTTAATCTGGCTACAGAGGAGCCTTTGGTCCGGCTGTCGTCCCCCAATCCACCAGACATCCAGTCGGAGGGCGCCTGGCAGAGGGTCAAGCGCTTCAGCCAGGCCGCGGCAGAGGCTGCATCGGGCTCCGCTGCGGCGGCTCGGGCCCCTACCACCAGGGTGGTCGTGGAGGGCGGGGGGCCTCAGCCAGTTGCCCCGCCCCAGGGCGAGTCAGCCGCGGCGTCTGAGGCCCAGAGCAGCAAGACCCGGGCTGCCACCGCGCGCACGGATCCTCCCACGCCAAGCTCACCTTCTCAGGGGACAGGTGCAGGAGCGAGGAGCCCCGGCAATGCTGCGCCACCTGAGCGGGTCCCTCTGCGTGTGTCTCAGCGCCCCGCCGCTCCTCCAGCAACGTCGGGCCTGAGCAAGGCGGCGCTGGATCGGGATGTGGCCGGCGCGCTGCCCTCCGGCGCCCAGGCGCGGAGGGCCGGCGAGGGCACGCGTCACGTGGCGTGGCTGTCGGCGCCGGGCGCGCGGGGGGCGCCGGCGAAGCTGCCGCTGGGGGAGGACGGCGTGGCGAGGGGCGGCGCAGGCCTGGGCGCGGCCTCGCCAGAGGGGTCTGCCTCGGGCGTGAACGGCCCGACGGGGTCGGCTGGCGAGGCTGCGGAGGGGCGCGGCCTGGGGGACCCTGCATTGGACGACCGGGGGGGGGCTGGCCGGGGCGGCGGGCGGCCGGGCGGCGGCGGAGGGGGCGGTGGCGGGGGCGGCGGGTGGGACGACGGCCCCGGACCGGAGCAGCAGCCGGCTCCATCGCCGGGGGACTGGGAGTGGCTCATCACCCTCATCATGCTCAGCAGCGTGCTGTGGTCCTTCTGGAGGTTCCTGCAGCAGCGGAACCCCAGGGCCGCCTCCATGCATGCCTGACCCCCTCCTACCCTGCACTCGAAGCAAGTCTGAGCAGATGCATGTCGGGTTACGATGACTGCGGGACAGGGATGATGGCTTGGATGGCACAGGGGAGGGATCAGACCCGCGGACTCCTTTGAACCTGGTTCCGGAGCGTGTCGGTGGTCCGCGGGGGGGGAGCCGGCGCGATGGACACGCCAAGGCATGCCATCGACAGGAGGTCAGACCCGATGCGGCAGAATTCCATTGACTAACTGGAATCAAGTGCGAGACCCTGATCATGGCGATCCTGCCTCAGCGCCTGGCTGTGATAGGTGCTGGGCAGATGGGTGCCGGGATTGCCCAGGTGGTGGCGAGCTCCGGCATCGCTGTCAAGCTGGTGGATCAGTCCCATCAGGCCCTTGATAAGGCCTTGGCGGGCATAGAGAGCTCCCTGGCCCGCCTGGTGACCAAGGGAAGGGTGGATGCGGTGACCGCGGAGGCTGCCCTGGGCCGGCTGTACACCTCCACATCACTGGAGGTAGGGGGAATGGGGTGGGCTGGCCAGGTGCCTGGCAGGCTTGCATGGGGAAATGCATCTGGGCATCCCTTCCCTGTCCAGACCTGGGGTCCCAGGCCTCACCCATGAGTCGACCTGACCCCACTCTGGAGTCGCCATCCCCTCCCCCTCCTTCTCCCCCCCGAAAAACATAACGACATTTCGTCCCCCCTCCATTCCCCCATCCCGCCCCCACCCAGGACCTGCACGACGTGGACTACGTGGTTGAGGCGGTGCCCGAGCGCGAGGACCTGAAGCTGCGCCTGTTTGCCAGCCTGGATGCGGTGGCCCCCCCCCATGCCATCCTGGCCTCCAACACCAGCTCCATCTCCGTGACGCGGCTGGGCGCCGCCACGCGCCGCCCGGCCCAGGTCCTGGGCCTGCACTTTATGAACCCCGTGCCCATCATGGGCCTGGTGGAGCTGGTGCGGGGCATGCGCACCAGCGAGGACACCTTTCGGGCCTCCCTGGCCCTGGCCGCGCGCCTGGGCAAGCAGACCTGCGTGTCGGCCGATACCCCGGGCTTCATCGTCAACCGCCTGCTCATGCCCGGGATCAACGAGGCGTTCTACGCCCTGCAGGAGGTACGGAGGTTGTGGAGGTTTCCGTTCTCCCAAGGGGGGGAAGGGGTGGGGTGGGGTGGGGGGGGTCCCTGACGATGCCTGGAGGGAAGGAGCGCTGCAGCTACATTCGCTTGGGCAGGGTGGGAGGCCGGTGGCTGGACGAGTAATCCGGGGCGAGGCGCGATGATGAAGACTCGCCTTTGTGCATGCAAGGCACCAGTGTCTCCGGCCCAGCGCTGGTTTCGTGAGCCATGCTCATGGGTCCCAGCTTCTGGCACCACCCACCACTCCCTACCACCCCACATTGCAGGGGGTGGGCAGCGCGGATGACATCGACCGTGGCATGCGGCTGGGCACCAACGTGCCTATGGGGCCGCTGGCCCTGGCCGACTTCATCGGACTGGACACCTGCCTGTCCATCATGCAGGTCCTGCACAGCGGGCTGGGGGACGACAAGTACCGCCCCTGCCCCCTGCTGCGCCAGCACGTGGACGCAGGGTGGCTGGGCAAGAAGGCGGGGCGGGGGGTAGTACGACTACAGCAAGGAGCGATGAAGGGGGAGTCAGTGCAGAGACCTGAATGAACCGTGCATACTCCATTTTCGTCGCAAGTCATCGATTTTCCGAAGAAGCACTTTACTCTCTCGCTGGTAGCGAAATGCACATTGGAGAATTTGAATCCAGGGGTACGGGGTGCTGTGGGGCGCGCGCGCCCAAGAGTGGTGACGTAGAGTGATGCATGATCTCACGCACTCGCCGGGGAAGGAGTGGCACGGTGCCCCGCAGCCGAGCCATGGCATGCTGTAGGGCACCTATCAGTCTCATAACACCCTTGACTGCCCTCCCCCCCAGCCGATCCCAGGAGCTTCCCTGCAGCCCCTGACGCCCATGTCGGCCTCCGGGGAGTCCTCCCCGCCCGACCCGGAGCGCAGCGGGAATGTGGAGGGCACCCTGCTCTGCCTTAGAAATGAGGTAATGCGTATGGACAACATAATGGCGACGAGGCCCTCCGTGGCGGCCATGCGGAGCGCAAGGGGCATCCCTCAGCCCTGCCCCAGTACACCCCCCCCCCTCCTTGCCCACCCCGTGCCCCTTACCACGCCCGCCGCACCGTAGGTGGAGGCACTACAAGGCAAGCTGGGCCAGCTGCACGGCTCAGACCTGGTGGCCCTGCGGCGCGCCTACGCCTCCCTTTCCCAGCACGTCGCCGCACTGGAGGGCGAGTGGGATGGCACGCTGGATGCCGTGAACCGACTGCAGACCGCCGTGGTGTCGCCCGAGTACGTCGCACAGGAGGTGAGCAGAGGGAGCTGCGAGGTTCCACCCTGCCCGGGGTCGAGGTGGTGATGAGCGTTTAGCGTGAGGGACGTGGCAACGAGTCCTCCAGGCACATCGCGAGTCTCTTCCCGCCCTCGCTCACGCCCGTGCTTTCCTGCCCCGAGCTCCTTACCAGCTGGGTGTGGCCGGCGCCCTGGCCGTCGGCTTGACCGTGCTCCAGCACAGCCTACGGGGTGTGATCGGGCGCGACGTCCTCTCCCGCGGCGCCTGGCTGCTGGGGGCCGGGGTGGTTGTGTTCCGGCTGACGGGGGGCACCCTTGCCCGCTGGCTCAGCATGGTGCACGCCAACATCCTGCTGAAGCGGGAACTCATACAGCGCCTGCGTGTCGTGGACGTGAGACATTTGAAGGGGGGATCGCTTGGGCGATCGGCATGGGTCCGGTGTGATGGGAAGAAAGGAGGGTGGGGGGCGCCTGGATGTGTGCATGGCCTATTCAAGCATGACGTGGTGCTCCACTACTTTCTCTCTCACACTACCTCTTTCTGTGTCTCAGGTGTCTGCGCCTGCGGCGCAGGCGCAGACACCCTGGCGCCGGTCCTTGCCCCCAAGCCGCACCCCCTTTTCACCCACCCCGCCGCGCAGGACCGCATCCGCATCATGGCGGCCCTGCAGACGTGGGCGCCCCCCGCCGGCCCCGCCCTCTCCTCCGACAGCTCCGGCGAGCCGGCGGCGGCGGCGGCGGGGTCCCGGCACGGCACGCCCAGCGCGCCTAGCGTGCGGAGCGCGACCGCCAGCCCCGCGGGCCGGGCGTCCCCCGCCCCGGGGACGAGCAGCGCGGGCCCCAGCGCCTCCTCCTCCTCCAGCCTAGAGATGGTGGAGCGGCCGGAGGGCGAGGCGGCGGGTCGCGGCACCGGCCAGGGCTGCTCCGAGGGCGAGCTGAGCCGGGAGGCGCTGCGAAAGTATGCGCGGCTGGGCAAGAAGCGATGAGACGGGCTCCTGCGCGGGGTCGGTCTTGACATGGACACGCACTGATCCCCCCAGCGCTCCCTCCGCCGCCTAATTTTAACCTAGGCTCGCTGCACGGCGCCACCACCGTGCAAGTGCCTCTCCCCTTGAACCCCCCTGTACATCGCTCTAGCTTTCTTGGGAGAAATCTCCCCCACCCATGTTCCTCCTTGCGCTGCGTCATATCGTTCTGCTCACTATAAACGTGTGTCAGTGTACAGTCAAGGGTTTCCAGGGTTGTCATGAGGGGAGCGAGCACGGACGGCCGGCGGGTGGCACACCAGACAGGATCGAGGCAGGCTCGGTCAAGGTGGCGATTCGCGGCTCACCGCTGCCACGAAGGCTGTCCGCATGCCGCGCACGAACGCACAGAAGTTGCCGGTGGACTGCAGGGCAGCCTGCAGCTCTGGGAGCTCCGGCAGCTCCTGAGACACGTTGGACACTGCAGGGAGAGGGAGGTGCCATGTGTGGTGCTTGGACGCGCACTCATCAACACCTGCACCGGACCTTGGCTCGACCAGGTCTGGCGACCCAGCGCAAAGGCATGAGGCCCAGCTTGTCCGACAAATGAGTTAATTCCTGCGACAAGGAAGCCACACCAAGGTTGCCCTGATTCCCCCCCTGTCCTTGCCCCCACCTGAGTACGTGTCGCTGCCTTGGATGTGGACTGCAAAGGTGAATTCGCGCTCCGGCTGGCGTGGATCAATGTCGTTCAGGCCTATCAACAGGCGGTGGGCGTCATCTGCAGTTGGTCATGGTGTTGGGTGGCATGGCAGTGTTGGGGAAGTTTCAAAAAGGGGGGATTGGAAAAATATCTTAAGGCACTCCTTCTCAGCTCCTACAGACTCATCCTGCAGGATCCTGTGACACAAGGTGTCCAGACCAGCCAGGCTTTGACCCATACCCGAAGTTTACTTCCCCTTACTGGATCCTTGCCTTGGCGGAAGTGGAGTCCCAGTCTGTCTCTGTACAGTCGCAGCGCACGTTCCAGGGCTCCCAGCTTGGCAAGATTCTGGGCTTCGGCGCTGGCAACGATTGACTGCTGCGCCTGCAGCTCCCTGTCAACCTCCTCGACCATGCTGCGCTGCTCGGCGAGTAGGATGGGGAGGGCTGCCTCCTCTGCGGCCGCCTGAACTGCAGCGGTTTGTGCTGCCAGCAGCTGGGCCTTTTCTTCCGACAGGCCTGTGGCGTGCAGCAGCAGGTGTATGTCTCTGGGATGGGGACATGGGTCGGAGGCTGGAATGAGCAAAGGAGAACATCAGAGTCACCAGACCACCGCACGTGTTTCGAGTGCTCGTGCTGCGCGCTCCAGTCGAGTGTGCTCGGCCTCGAGCTCCCGGCTCCGACCTGCGGCAATGTTTTGCAGGGGGAAGCGAGCAAGTGAACGAGATGTTCACGGTCTAGCTCGACTCTTTCAATCCATTCCAACCATTATCCGGGCGCCCACCTTGCAGATCCTTGATGCGATGTCCATGCTCCTGTCGGGTCTGGTCTGCGGTGGACACGGTGCGTTGCGTCCAGCTGTCAATCTTCCCCTGGAACCCTTTCAACTCCTTTTGGAGGGCTGGTAGGTCGATGCCCGTCGCCATCTTGGAGCGGCAATGCGGTCGCGAGTCACGGTGGTGAGCCCCTCGCACAGCTCAAATCTGTCGGTGTCATGCGCAGGTCGAGTTTTCAGCCTTTCCGATACCCCAGCTTTGTATAATCAGGGCCCAGTGAGCAGCCACCTCGTCCGGGACATCACTGAACAGCCTGCACTGCGCACTCGGAAGCCCTCATCCCGTTGCAGTATTCAGACGTGTACTCAGCCTGATCAGAGAGCAGCAGCGACGCCGTGCCTGACCTCGGCGAGCCACTGGCCAGCGTCGCGGGCAGTGGACGGTCCCAGCGCATCAGGCCGGTGCTCAGCCGACGAGCCTCGTTAAACTTAGCGTGCGGCACCTCGTGTCGTCGTGCGCCCTCCGAGCGGGCCTGCCGCCCCACCCTCACGCCCCGCGTCCGAGATCCCATGCCCCAGTCCTGAGCCGGTTCCCGGGATGGACCGCCCCATACTGAAGGCGTGCATTCTTAGCATACTTTGCCTGGCATGCGTGTGCCCCCGGGGCTCGGCTGCCGCCGGAACAACATTCGGCAGCGAGTCGCCGCCCCCGATCACCTCATACCCACCCCCTGCCAGCACTGGGGGCGTGCTGGCAGCCAGCGGGCCCTCCCCAGCCCCCAGCCCTCCCCCCTCCCCCGCTGCGTCCCCACCCGCAGCCTCCTCCCCCGCCCACCCTCCCCCGAGGACGCCTCCCCGCCCCCCCCCCAGCCCCAACGCTCCATCCCCCTCGCCCGGCACCAGTCCCACCACCTCCCCCAGCCCCATGACCTCCCCCAGCCCCGCCTCCTCGCCCCCTCCCGGCTCCAGCCCATCCGCGGCCGCCCCCCCCCCGTCCTTCCACCAATGCCCAGGGCCAGGCGCTGCTCACCTTCAAGGCTGCGATCACCAACGCCGGGAGCATTGCTGCGCTCACGACTTGGAGCAGCACCGTGGCAAACCCGTGCAGCTGGGGGACGACCAGCGGCGTCACCTGCGACAGCGACGACACCACTGTCATCTCGCTGTGAGTCGGGGGGGATTGGGGGTTCTGTGTCTCGCATGATTCTCGTGCGGATTCCACAGCTTGACAATCAAATCCGCCGTGGGAGCCTGGCCGTGCACGCGCTCCTTCGCCGGACCTCTGCGCTGCTGTACCACCATGCTGCGCCCATGGCTTCGAATACTTCCATCCATGCCTGATCTGGGTCTGGCGCCACTGCTCCGGCAGTACACGGTTCACCCTCCCCCCTTTTCCTGCATGGCACACCGGCATCCACCCTCACCCGCTGCCCGTCCACCTCCCCCCTGCCAGTGACTTGAGCGGCGCGGGGATGGTGGGCAGCCTGACGGCCTCACTCGCCGCCCTCACGGGACTGCAGTCGCTGCTGCTGGGCGGCAACTCCCTCACCGGCTCTGTGCCCTCCGCCTGGAACACCGGCGCTGCGCTGGGCTCGCTCACGGTCATCAACCTGACGGCCAACGCCATCTCGGCACTGCCCACCAACTTTGGGGCGGGAGGTGGGCGACTGGGTGGGGTCGGCGCCCGGCAGCACCCTCGGCACCTGCTCGAGGGGGAGTGGGTCGCTGAATGATCGCCCACCCTCTGCACTTCTCTGGAAAAACTCATGCTTAAGCTCCCCTCCACGCACCCACCCGGCCACATGGCCGCATATCCATGTACCCCCCATGGACTTCCTCCTTTCCTCAGGCTGCTCCAACCTGGTCACCCTGGCCCTCGACTCCAACGGCATGACGGGGAGCCTGCCCGGGTCGCTCACCCTCACCGCGCTGAAGGCGGCCACCTTTGTGGGCAACGCACTGACGGGTACGTGTTGAGAGGTGTTCGCGAGGCGGATTCCGAACGCTGCCTCCTTGGCCAAAGCCTCTCGTCCCTGGACGCGCCCGGGCGCGATCTGCGCGCACGATCCCATGCGCGGCCCCCCCACCCCCCACCCACCCAGGCTCGATCCCCACCTGGTCCAAGGGCTTGCCCTCCTCTGCCAGCGTGGCCGTACTGCCGCAGACGGGGACCACGAGCCTGTGCGGCTCCGTGCCGGCCTCCCCCGGCCTGACATACTCCTCGAGTGGCACCAGCTTCGCGCTCGCCAACTCCCTGGGCTCCTGCTTCGTGCCCTGCAGCCAGACCGTCACCACCAGTGCGTCGCAGGGGTGGCGAGCGAGAGAATGGGCTCGTGCGTGCTGGGGTGCGGCTGCATTGCCGGTGGAGGCCTGGTGAGGGCCCGGGTGTTCATGTGTGAGCGCAGATCTTGCCCCAAATCCACAGCCCCTGGATTCTGGCGCCGGAAGTGGGAAGGGGGGGGCCGGTCGTGAAGCCCCTCGACTCCAACCTCTCTACATAGCATCACCCCCCCACACACACACTTCCACTCGCCCTTCATCATCCCCCCCTCCCCCGCCTCCTTCGGCAGGCCTGACCGGGACCAACCTATTTGACGTGGCGGTGGCTGCCAATGTCACCGCCTGGGACCTGGCCCGCGGCAACCTTCTGACGCCGGGTCAGGGCACTGCCAGCTCGGTCACCATCCCCTGCTATGGCACCGGGTCGCCCGTGGGCAGCTATCTGGGCGGCGACGCCGCCTACGGCGCGCTGGCCTGGGGCTCGGCCTCGGGCGCGGCCTCGGTCACGTCGCACTCCACCTCCTCCTGCCTGGCCGCCTCGGGCACGGGGTCCTACGTGCGCGTGGACCTGGCAGCCAGCTACGCGCTGGCCTCCGTCGTGCTGGTCCTGGCGGGCAACGGCCTGGCGGGCGGCGCGGTGTCGGTCGGCGTCGCGGCCGACGGCTCCGACGCCACCACCTGCGCCTCGGGCCTGGTGCTGGGCGCGGGTACCGTGGCCGTCACCTGCGCCGCCAGCGGGCGCTACGTGACCGTGTCCGGCACCACACTGGGCCTGTGCGGGGTGCAGGTCTACCCCGCCGTCTCCGACGCGGCGCTGGGCAAGGCGGCGACGTACACCACGGCCTCCGGCACCGCGACGCTGGCGTCCTTCTCCACCGCCGCCAAGCTGGGCATCGCGGGGTCCAGCCCGTCCTTCGTGCTGGACCTGGGCTACACCGCCAGCCTGGCCTCGGTGGTGGTCGGCTCGCCGACGGGCCTGGGCGTTGTGTCGCTGCAGGCCAGCAATCCGCTGGCGGGGACCTCGCCCTCGTCCAGGCGCCTCCTGCGCGCGGCGCCCTCGGGGGTCGATGCCGCAGGGGTCGCTGGTGCGGGCGGCGAGGCTGGAATGGAGCAGCTCGGTGCGGAGACCCGCGCCACCACCACGGCATCCGCAGTCGGCCGCCGGCTGCTGGCCAGCACGGCGTGCAGCGCCGGCAGCGGCGCCGGCGCCTGGACCTGCGCCGGGCTGAGCGGGCGGTACCTGGTGCTGGCCGCGTCGGACGGCACGCTGTCCTTCACCACCCTGCGTGCCTTCGCCTCGGCGGCGCCGGCGCTGGCGGTGCCGCCGCCGCCCCCGCCCCCCGGCGGCGGCGCCACCCTCACCTCCCAGCTCATCTTTGTCGGCGGGACGGTGGCCACCTTCCGCCTGACCAGCACCTCGGACCGTACCGTCTTCCTGGCGGCCATCAATGCCGCCTTCCAGGCCGCGATCGAGGACGCGGGGTACGAAATGACCACCGCCGACACCACGCTGGAGAGCGCCACGGTGAGGAGAGGGGGCAGGGGGTGGCATGGGCGCCAGCAGGGCCAGGGCATGGGGATCGAGGGAGGGTGGCTGGGCATGGCCGGACCCGACGGGCCGGTTGCCGGGATCCGGGGTCAGGATGGAGACCCATCACGTGCGCCACGCCGCCCACGCTGTCCCTCGACCACGACCACCACACCACGCACAGACACACCCACCCACCCACACAAACAGACGTCGATCAATCCCAGCGAGTACGGGTACACGGGCAGCGTGCCCTCCGGCGCACAGACCCTGCTGCTGACGGTGTCCTACACCACCACCCTGCCGGCGACCTCCGTCGACAGCGTGCTCGGCACATCCAGCGTGGCCTCGGCCATCTCCTCCTCCCTGGACGCCTCGGGCTTCGGCGCGCCCGCCGTCTGGCTGGTCAGCGGGTCCCCCGCCCCGCCCCCGCCCCCCGCCGGCCCCGACGCCGGCGGCGGCGGCGGCCTGGGCACCGGCGCGCTGGTGGGCGCGGTGGTCGGCGGTGTGGCCGGCGCCGCTGCGCTGCTGGTGCTGATCTACCTGTGCTGCTGCCGGCGGCGCCGCGCGCCCCCCGCGCCCGCCGGCGCGGCGGCCGGCAAGCTCTCCGACTGGGACGAGCCGGGTGCGCTCAAGGCCGGATACGCGCCCCCCCCCGGCGGCGGCGGCGGCGGCCCGCGGGCGCGGCGGCCACCGCGGCGGCCGCTGCGCTGGTCACCGCCAACGGCGCGCACGCGCTGGCGCGCTGGACCGGGTCGGCCACGGGCTCGGGGTCCAGCGGCGGCCCGCGCTCCAGCGCCGGCGCCTCCTCCGCGGCGCGCACGGCCGATCCACTGCTGGAGTGGATCACGCGCAGCGCGGCGGCCGCGGCGGCCGGCACAGGGCCCACCGCTTCGGGCGGCACGGGCACGCCGCCCTCGTCGGCGGGCGGGCGGTCGACGCCCGCGGCGGGCGCGGCGCCGGGCACCCCCGCCATGGACTTCAACATGTGGATGCTGTCCTGGGGCGACCTGGACATCCAGAAGCAGGTGGGGGAGGGCTCCTTCGGCCGCGTCTACCTGGCCAAGTGGCACGAGACGCTGGTGGCGGTCAAGGTGCTCATGGCCACGGGCGTGGACATCGATGACGTGGACGAGGCCGCGCGCGCGCTGACCATGTCCAACCCCATCATGGCCAGCCTGCACAAGGCGAGGAGGGGGGGGGGGGTGATTGGTGGGAGGGGGTCGGGGTCGGGAGTGGGACTGGATGGTGCCTGGGGAGTTGTACAAAAAGGAGGGGGGGCGTATGAGGGACGGGTGAGACTCAAGGCCAGACCCCCGCGCGCACTCATGGGGCAGCCCTCCGTATCACCCACCCACCCGGTCCACCCCTCCACCCCCCAACCTTTCACCACCACCACCACCACCCCAAAACCACTTCCCGGCAGGAGGCGCACATGATGGCGAGCATGCGCCACCCCAACGTGGTGGGCTTCCTGGGCCTGTGCACCAACCCGCCCTGCGTCGCGTCCGAGTACTGCGCGCGCGGGTCGCTGACGGACGTGCTGCGCGGCGCGGCGCGGTCCCCCGCCCGCGCCGCGCAGCTGGACTGGTCGCGCCGGCTGAACATGGCGCTGGACGCGTGCAAGGGCATGCTGTACCTGCACTCCCACGCGCCGCCCATCGTGCACCGCGACCTCAAGTCGCCCAACCTGCTGGTGGACCGCCACTGGCGCGTCAAGATCTCCGACTTCAACCTGTCCAAGCTGCTGGATGGCAGCCCGGTGATGAGCAGCCTGGCCGCCACCAACCCGCGCTGGCTGGCGCCGGAGATCCTGGCGGGGCACGCCGCCACCTTCGCCTCCGACGTCTACGCCTTTGGCATCGTGCTGTGGGAGATGCTGACCTGGGAGCTGCCCTGGCCCACCTCCAACCCCTGGCAGGTGGTCACCGTGGTCACCGAGGGCGGGCGCCTGGCAGTGCCCGACCGCGCCGCGCTGCCGGGCCCCGACACCCAGGACTGGGACGGGCTGGACGCCTACGTCGACCTCATCCGCGCCTGCTGGGCCCAGAACCCCAACGACCGCCCCACCTTCAGCGAGGTCATCCCCGTGCTCAGGTGGGGGAGGTGTCAGTGTGGGGGGTGGGGAGGGTGTTCAGGGGGAGGGAGGGGGGTGAGCGGGTGGGGACTTTGACGTGGGGAAGGGAGCTCGGCAGGCTGGAGGTCGGGAAAGTAGACCTCCTGGCCGCCTCGGGGCAGAGGCTGGGCCGTGTAAGCTGGGCCGTCGCTGGCAGGGACCCTTGTTCCCACCTGTGTCTGCACCTGAGGCTCCCCCTACCCTACGCACACGCTCGCCTGGGGGGGGGACACACATGTGTGCTGAGCTCATGTGCCAGGATGACAACCGGCTCCCCTCCCGCCCTCGAATCCCACAGGGACCTGTTGGAGGCGCTGATGCACAAGAATGCCACGCAGGGGCGGCCCAGCTCGACGCCGGTGGGCCCGCCCACCATGGCCGAGCCCCTGTACCTTAAACAGGCCGCCAGCCTGAGCAGGCTGGGCGCCACCAGGAGCAACGGCGGCGGGGCCGGCGACTCCGTGCCCGGCGACCCACCCGCCCCGGGCAGCACGGCTTGATGCAGACAACTGAAACATGTGTCCTACCCCCATATGTGTGATTTAATCCATGTGTACATCCCAGGAACCCACTCGGAATGAGAGTGCCCGACCAGAGCTTCAGGTCGCACAGGTTCTGGAAAGCCGGAATCTATGATCCGCACGGCTTACAGCTGAAGGGTGGGCTGACTGCAACACCCCTCGATGCCCGGCTCTGCACCATCGCTGTCCGAGGCGGGCACGGGGTCGTGGAGGACCACCCAACAGAATGCGGCTGCTGGTACTCGCCCTCGAGTTTGCAGCGTCCACCTTCAGCGGCAATGGGGTGTACTGCCAGTCACAGGCGAGGAGACGGGGAGTCTGATGCGGGAGGCAACCCCGCGAGCTCTGAAGTGCGTCCATGCCATGGGGTGACACATCACTTTATTATACGTATGCGCGCCCATCCCCACCCATGTCTCACAGGTGCGTGCCCTGCGTGGCCTGGGACACGACGTCATGGTGGTGTCGGGGGGCCCAGAGGGCTGTGAGCCCGAGCCGGAGCACGAGCACGCCTCCCTACTGCTGCAGGCATGGCAGGGCGTGAATATGCTCGGGGTTGATAGGGGAATTTATCCTTGGGGGGAGCATTGCTGTATGGCGTGTAACACTGCGCCCTTTGCAAGTATCATGGCCGAACTCTCAAATTGAATGATTCAAAGCGAGTATGAGGTGTGCCGGAATGGCCTTCTGACAATCCCTACCCGAACTCGTTTCCGAATCAGATCCCCCTGCCGTCCTGGGGCACGCTGGACAGCAGCTGCAGCCACCGGGAGTTTGCTGCAGGCGTGGCCGCCTCCGCCATCCTCTCCGCCATCCTCTCCTTCTACCCCGACGCCGTGCTGGGGGTGGACTGGCACGCCCTGCGCCCCTACCAAGCCATGAAGGCGGCCTGGGAGGCTACCCATGCCGCAGCACTGAGGGATGCGCCGGGCTGCCGAGCACCCCCGCTGGTGTACATGAACTACCGCCTGCATGGCCGCACCGACCCGGCCTGCCAGGCCCTGGAGGTGGAGGCGCTCGGTGCCTCCGCGCTCTCCCTGCTGCTGTGCAGGGCCGATCGCCGCGCGGCGCTGGACATGCTGGGGACAAGCGATGGTCTGCGCCCCGGCCCAGACCTGCGCGTCCTCCTCCCGCCGCTGCGATCTGACCTGGCGGGGATCGGCGCCCCGGCGGCGGCGGCCCTGGCCCCGCGCCGCACCTTCCTGACTTGCGCCGTGCGCGTGGCGCCGGAGAAGGCGCCCGACCGCTTTGTGGAGCTCGTCGAAGAGCTGGCGCACCGTGGCGCGCTCGGCAACCTCACGCCCCTGATCTGCGGCTCGGGCTGGGGCGGCGCCTGGGGTACGAGCCTCGCGGCGAGGCTGCTGGCGGCCGCGCCGCAGGCTGTAGTGCACACCCGCTTCCTGGGGCCGGCGGGGCTGGCGGAAATTTTCGCCGCCACGCTGCTCAATGTCCACCCCTGCGAGCAGGACGCCTACGGCATGACCATCGTGGAGGCCGCCAGCCAGGGTGGGGGAAGGGAGGAGGGGTTGAGCGGGGTTTGGAAGTGTTGGCGATGTGGGTGCCATGGTGCCCGGGGGGCGGCCGCAGCACAAGTGCCGTTGGACATCACACCACCCCTCGGCCATTGGACCTCCTCACGACCAGTTGGCAACAAGAATAACGGGGCGATTGCATGTGAACGGTCCTTTGACGTCGAGCCCACCACTGCCTCCCTTTCTTTCCCTGCTGGCAGGGGCCCCCAGCCTGGTGCAGGGAGGGGGCCAGGTGGGGGCCACAGACCTACTAGACCCCGAGGCCGGAGAGGTGTTTGTCGCTGACCTGGCGCAGGGCATCCCGGGACTGGCGGCAGAGGTGGAGCGGCTGGTGGCAGACCCCCAAGCCCTGCAGCGAGTCGGGGCAAAGGCTCGGGAGAAGGCGCGGTCCTGGGGGGAGGTGGACAATGCCCACCAGCTCGCTACCTGGGTAGAAGCGGTGGTGCGAGTGCAGGCAGCAGCACAGGAACGAGAATCATCATCGTGACTCCTGAGATCGAAGGGCAATGCGCACGAGCGCTGGGCAGGCTGACTGGGTAAGGAGACCCGCCTAGGATGTCCCCTGAACTATTCACAAATGAATACAAGGTCCGCACACAACAGAAAGTGCATTGGATAAAGGAATCATGTTGCAGTGCCCATGCACATCAAGCTGACTGAAATGTCATCAGCACCCCTTTCCCTAGATCGCCCTGTATGCTGGATTTCTCTGTTACCGCTTAAAAATCAAGGATTAGATCGATGCTCAGGCAAAATCCTCTCGCAAAATCCTCTCTAACACGAGCAAAAACAGTTCGTCACGGGGACTTCCCACGTGGTCACCCACCGCAGTACTATTCCCGCCCAATCCAGCTTAATTACCGAGGTCTAATGGGATCGGATGTGTTCTGGATGGTATGAACGAACCATGGGAGGAGATGGAAAACTGTTTATTATAATATAGCATGCGATGTCTGAAGGATTGTGAAATGATCCAACACTCGATGATTCTCTCCTGCCGTTCATAACGCAGCCCAGGTCTGATCAAGAATCTAGCCCACTCCTGCATCTCGCTTTTGCCGGGTTGCAGACATGGTGTTGCACACTGCTCGCACACTGCATGAACAAAAAGACAAGGCCCTCAAGGATCGACATGCACGTCCCACTCTGGGCGAGAGAGCCAGGCTTGTACGGCCTCCGACCTCCGCTGCATCCACGGCCAGGCGTTGGCTCCAACTCCCTCATGCCCCTCCGTGGACCGGCAAGCACAGCGCAGCATCTCACGGACCCCCGCCCAGCCCAGGCCCAGGTTGGCTTCCACGTTCCTCGCCACCAGGCCCTGGAACTCCCGCGGCGAGCACAGCCCACGGCAGTCCTCGATGAGGGCCTCTGCCGCCGCGGTCTCCTCCGTCAGCAGGCGCCAGAGGTGGGGCATAGCGTGCTCGTTGATCCAGTTGTGGTTGATGCTGAGCGCCGGCGAGGCATTGAGCACTTCATGGTGCCAGCCGCTGGGCACGAAGATCGCGTCCCCGGGCTGCTGGATGAATTCTCGTGCCGCCTGCCTGGCCTGAGCAAGCCCCGGCCACCCCTCGCCGGACGGTCCATGCAGCGTGCGGGCCAGTTGCTTTGTCCCCGGGCGGTACATGTGCTCGGTGTGGGAGGGGGGGACCAGGGTCCAGTGCTTGACCCCAGCGATGTTCACCGACCAGCTGTGACTCATCAACACGTCGTGGTGCAGGGGGGTGGAGGACCCCTTGCATCATTTTGGGGGAGGGGGGTGCAGTGAAGGTGAGAGATCGGGCATGCTTGGGTGCGGGAGGCAAGGGATTCGGCACCTGTACACAAACTACCAGAATGCGCGGCCCCCGAGAGGCCTGATCATTCAGGACCCAAGAGTGACCTCACCTCGGGACCCAGGTACACAAAGCGGTAGTCGCTGGTGACCAGAGAGGACCGGCTCGCAGCAGGGGGTGCAGGTGAGCTACCATCTCCGTTGCATGCCGGCTGCCCATGCCTGAGTACATCGTGCCACTCATTCAGCCAGTCGTCCATGAAGATGGGGGGGCAGGTGTAGGCCTTGGAGAAGATGGGTGGAGCGACCGATCGTGAGATTACTTGTCTCGACACACTTTGGAACTCAAGTTATGGAGGTCACCACACCCCTAGGGGTGCAACCCCTTCACACCTGGTACTCGGGATGCTCGGCGGCAAAGTGCCAGTCCTTGAGGTATAGAACTCCCTCCCGGTCTGGACGCCTCCACCAGGACACGTACTCCGCCAGGGACATGATCTCTGCGGGCTGCGCGCCGTACTCGGATGCCTGGGAGCAGTCGGACACGCAAATCCGGCTGTGCCCAAATTTGCGGACCAGAAAGTCCAGATCTGGGAGGCCTTCCGGCGTCACCCACTCCCTCACTGCTGCCCAGTCGTCTGTGAGCCCACGGACGATGACGGGTTCCCCGACAGCCATGTAATCGTTCACAAAGCCCTCGTAGGTGAGCTCTCTCGCATCAACTACGGGTGTGGCGACCGGTGCTGCTGGTTCGGGATGCGAGGTGCTCATCATGAAGGCCTGTAAGGTGCTACATCAGATCTCGCACAAATGCATGAGCTCCCATGGCAATTAGATAAGTAAAGGAGCTGTTGTTGATAGCTCGCCTGCCCATCTCTCATGCTGTGTCGAGCCGCTATGATTTGTGTTGTCGAACCTGTCCGACTCGCGCCCAGCAGCTTCATCTCCGCCAGAAATGGCGGCGCGAAAGATGCTATGGTTTTCAGCAAGCCGATCACCGACTGGACTCTCATCAAGAGACGACAAACCTGGTGTACAGTAATGTATTGGAAACTGGCAAGAGGGGGACTGGCGTGAATCACCAGCGGCGTGCCTGCTGGCCAGCAGACTGCCGCACTCCAGCCAAGCCCACCATCCTGCACAGAGTGACAACATGAGCGGCACCCACTCCCAAAAAGGACTGAGAGGGGTGATACAGCAGCATGGGCCAAGATGAGAGAGGGCAGCAACAGGACCTTCCTTGCAGGGTGGCAGAAAAATATTGAGGAGAAGACTTGAAGGAGGGCATCCTCCTGGTCGTACCAAGGGAATCCAAGGCGCAGCGTGCGGAGACACACGAGCGGGAACGTTGTTATCCGTTTTAAGCCTTGCCAAAAAGGCAAGCAAGCTCACAAGCCTACAGGTAGCATACAGCAGCAGCACTTGGGGGGGTGGGTCTTTTCGCCACGTCCTTCCCCACTCGGCCAAGCAGCTCCACACACACTTCGAGCCCGACAGCAGCGGCAGCAGCGCCTGGCGGCCCCATGCCTCCTCACCAGTCCCCCTCCAGGCGCTTGAAGCGCGAGGGGGACCGCAGGCGGTGGATGGCCTTGGCTTCTATCTGACGCACACGCTCACGTGTGATCTGCGACCAGTGAGGGGGGCAGCGACGGCGATGAGGAGGGATTGGAGGAGTGGGCAGGTGGTGCTGGGCGACGGCGGATCGAGCCTGCCATGCTGACGCACAGCTTGCACTCGCCCAGATCATTGCGTCTGCTGGTGTGCACCTCGGTGCCATGCGCCTGCGCGCCCCTTCCGCCCTCCACCTGCGCCCTTTCCCCCCTGCCCCCGCCTCACGTGCACTTCGTGGGAGGTGCCACACTGGCCCAGCGTGCGCTCCCGCCCGTCCTCCAGCCCAAACCGGTTTTTGATGACCGACACCTCGCGCCGCGGCAGCCTGCGAAGCACGTCGTCCAGCTCCACGCGCTTCAGCGCCTGCATGGCGCGCAGCATGGGGTCCTCCGTGGAGTCGATGACGAAGGCGGCGGACGGCTGCAGGCCGCCCTCCTCGTCGCGGTCGCCCTCGGCCTCGTTCAGCACCGCGGGCTTGCGGATGGCGGCCTGCACCTGGACCAGGCGCTTGGCACTCATGCCCGCCGCCGCGGCCAGCTCGTCCTGGGTGGGCGGCCGGCCCAGCTGATCGCACAGCACCACCTCGGCGCGGACCAGGCGCCGGAAGCGGTCGACGACAGAGACGGGGAGGGAGACGAGGCGGCCCTGGGCCTGGGTGGCCCGCCCCAGGGCCTGACGGATCCACCACGTGACGTAGGTGGAGAGGCGGAAGCCGCGGCGCGGGTCGAATCGCTCCACGCCCGTGCGCAGGCCCTGCATGCCCTCCGACACGAGGTCGGAATGGCTCAGGCCGCGCCCAGTGTACCGATGTGCGGCCGCCGCCACCAGGCGCGCGTTGCAGGCCACCATCATCTCCCGCGCCTGCAGGCCCAGGTGCAGCCGCATCTGGAGCTCCGCGGGCGTCAGCCCCGCCGCCGCGGCCCACTCGCGCGGCGACACCGCCGGCGGAGCGCGCGCGGTGGTGATGGAGGCGGCAGGGTCTCCGTGGCTGGCAGAAGCAGCCGGGCGCGAGCGCGCAGGTGCGGCACCATGCGTGGCGTGCCCGTCGTCGCCGGCAGCCGGGCCCGAGGATGTCGCCTGGGGGTCCAAACCCCCTCCTCCCTCGCCCCGCGCCGCGCGCAGCTGCGCGCGGACCTCCAGCAGGCCCAGCCGCGCCTGGACCATCTCGCCCAGGTCGCACTCCTGCGCCGCGGTGAGCAGGCGCTTGGAGGACACCGAGGCCAGCACCGCGCGCATCGTCTCGATACAGGCGCAGGGGTCGCCGCGCAGGGCGGCGGCCGGAGTCGCGGCGCCCTCCTCCTCATCGTTGGCGTCCTGGTCGGCGGTCAAGGGAGGCGCGTCGCCATCCTCCGCATCCTCGTCATTGTCCAGCAGTGCGGGCCGGCGGCTGTCGGACCCGGCCTCGCTCGATGCGCCGGCGGCGGCCTCGGCGGCATCCTCCTCCTCCTCCTCCTCCTCCTCCTCACCCTCGTCGTCCTCTCGCGAGGCGACACGCTGCGCGCTCTCCAGCAGCACGCCGCCGCCGCCCGCGGCGAGCAGGGCGGGAAACAGCGCAGCGGCGGCGTCGCCGCCCGCCGCGGCCACGCGGCGGCTGAGGCGTGCCGAGCGCGCCGCACCCACACTGCGCATGCTGCGCTGGCTGCGCACCAGCTCGCCGGCGGGGACGGCGTCCGCCGTTTCCTGGCGCGCACGGCGCACGGCGCGCGCGACGCGCGGCGAGGCCATTGTCGGACGGATGCGGTGGCGCGAGGAGGTGGCGGCCAAGGGCGCGGCGCGGGGGGTCTGGCTGCGGGGGCGGGGAGTTGAGGCGCGGGCCGGGGCGGTGGGGGTCAGGCTCCGTTCCGCGGCCGAGCGCCGCGTCTGGATGGTGCCCAGCTCCGCCCGCACCTGCTTCCTCAACCGAATGCGGTCCGCCTCCTGGTGCATCGGGTATGGGAGGGGCAGCGCAGGTGTGAGGGACAGACAGCGAGTAGATGCGCTGGACGCCTGTATCCAGGCAGTTGAGTGGTGATCGAGCAGCGGTAGGCTCAGCCGAGGAGACATGTACGCCCATCCCACGACAATCGATCCTACGCCACACCCCACACTCCTGCGAATGCGCCAGCGACCCCACCACGACCGCCAGCACACGGCCAACCACACCCACCGTGAGGGCGTCGCCCATGACCTCAGACTGGAGCTGGCTGTTGGATGCCTCCAGCTCCGTGTCCAGGCCCCTCAGGTCCCTCAGGATGGCAGAGAAGTCGTCCAGAAAGGCGTCGCGAGCAGGCGCGACCTCCGCCGCCTTCTTCTTTGGCTCAGCACGTCGCGGCCATTCCTTCTCGCGCGGTCGCTGCTCGCCCTCCCTCCGCTCCTCGCCGTCCCTTCCCTCCTCCTCCCCCGGTATGAGGAGAGGGGGGCACAGGGCCCAGCCCGCCTCCAGCCTCTCCAGCGCGTTGGAGTAGCCCAGGGGCTCCAACGTCCTGAGGTGCGTGGCCTCCGCGACCGCAAAGGTGCGGTGCTCGGGCAGGATAGGCCGGCGGGGGACGGGGTGTGGGCCGGCCCGTGGGAATGCGCGGAACGGCACGGCATCCCGGGGCAGGGATCCGCAGGGGACCAGGCTCCCGCTCATCATGCCGCGATGGGGGGCGGGTCGCGCCTGCAGCGCGGCGCCCAGGCGCAGCAGAGGTGGAGTTGCTGGCAGGGCGGAGGATAAGCTGGGCAAGCTCCCGGCAACGCCACGAGAAGCCAGCTCGTTTTCCCTGAAACAACTCTAAATCCACTTTTCTAATATTCCAGTATTGATACACGCTGGGCAACGCTATGCGAGGACGGAAAGGCATGTCGAGGCTGGTGTTTGTGGTGGAAGGGGCTGGCGGGAAGTATGGATATGGTCACGTGGGCGACACTGCGTACCACTGTCAACATTAAAGCTGTGCTGGAGGCACAACTCCCGCATTTGATGGATCCCAAATTGCACACACTACCTTGGCCGTCCCTTAGCTGCGAAATAAAGGGGTGGGGTCAAGGTGTGACCATGTCCACTTCACATCAGCGCAGAGCACCGTGGTAAGCAAATGAGCAGGCACACCATCGGTGTGTGTGGCAGAAAATATAGATTCTTCACGTCCAGAATTGGCAATTCAAGTATAGTATGTTGGGAGCTGTGACAGTCCCTGCTCTATGGCATCTGCCTGAGGTGAATGGTGATGCTGGCAAGAGTGGTGAGGATCAGGGTTGGCAAATTCGGTCTCCCAGAAAGCACTGCCGTGCCTGTACAGTCAGGAACTTCGCCGGCAGCATGGCGGACATCCTTCCGCATTCCCATTCAGCATCTGTACCTTACACGATGACTGACTGTGGTACGCTTTAGAGTCACAACAGGATGCCTCCATGTGCAGAGGCAGGGCATATTTATGCGCCGCATCGGTGGACAGCCAGTCTCTCAGGAGAGGGCCTGGGCTCTACCTCCACCTTGCATCCTCTGATTGAGCATGACCTTCAGTTTCCACTCAGTGGTGAGGAGGCCTGGGAGTCACAGCGTGCCTGCAACAACCCCAGCTGTGGCCCTTCAGTGGTGGTGGGACTCGTCGTGTCCATGTGCCTCCTCGTGAAGCTCATGCTCAAAGTGAGCAGCGGGCCCATACTGCGCGGTATGGATAAGGAGATCGTAGTTCTTGGCAGATAAATGGGTGATGTTTCACACAAGGCATGCACAATAAACCTCGCAAGAATACCCTCAGCTCAGCTACACTCACCACAAAGTGATCAAAGTCGTGGTAGAACCGGTAGAGCACCCAGAACCTGCATTGTGCGATCAATTCTGTTGCGCTGACCGCGGATGCGGCAGATACCAGTCTCTGCCTTGGCAAGCACTGGGCCCTCCTGGCACGTCCCAACCCTGGCACTCACCACATGACACCGGCCATGCCCCGCCCGATGTTGACGTGCCAGGGAGAGGCCTTGTGCAGTGTGAGGCCCTCATACGTTACATCGTGCCCGTGGCCATGCCCTGCAGTCATGGCGCATAGGGCGTTGGAGCAGGGGGACATTGGAGAGTGTCACAGCTCGGCAGGTCGAGTGCCCCAGACAAGCACAGCCTGCAAACCCCACCTGAGGCAAAGCTTCGCTGCTGTAGGGCGTTGGTGTTGGACTTTGGTGCAGCGTGCAGGGTTTTGCTGCCGGTGCTGTACAGCTGACGCGCAACCCTGCTGAAAGCTGACATGACACCCCTCCGACCGCCAGGCCGCACGGGTACACAGGCTTCCTGGACCAAGCTGATGAAGTACGTCGGGTGCTGTATCCAGATGTCGTGACATGGGCCAGGTGGATGTGGCTTACAACATGGGACCGTCCTGGAGTCTCGCAGAGCGCACCCGAGCCTCGTCGGAGGAAAGTGGGGGTGCCCCTAACCAATGTCTGAGGAAGCCTTGACGCCACCCTCGCGGAGATCTGACCAAGGCCCTCGGGATCTTGTCGTGTACCCAACACCTCGTTGAATCAATTGAAGATCAGCGCACGTTGCACTCTTGCATCCTCATTCGACAAGCCGTCTCCAGGCCGGGAGCTGGTGGCTGAGGCTCGGCACCAATCGACGGGAAGGTCAGGGTCGACCAGCCCCCCTCCAATGGCGGATGATGACAAGATCAAAGCCATCCGGGAGCTGAAGTCCCGCTTTGACCACAACAACAGCGCCTTGAAACAGGTGTGGGGCCTTGGGGTGCTGCTTGTGGACCTGCTGAGAAAAGGCCCTGCATCATGTCCAAGATGGACACTTGGGGGTGCATACCCCATGTCAAGCTGTTCGGTACTGGTGCAGAACGGCAAGCTCCTCTCCTGCTCGCCCACAGATGGAGTCGCAGCGCCGGCAGAACGAGGTGACGCTGCGCAGGGCGGCCTTCACCGCGGCCCAGCTCGACGGCCTCCCCTCCGACACGCCCTGCTACCGCGGCGTGGGCAGGGCGTGAGTTCTGGGTGTGGGCTCGCTGTGTGCTGGCAGATTGTGCCTGTGGTGTCCGAGGGGAAATAAGTGTGGCCGGGGTTCTCATCGGGTGGGCGTTGCTGTCGCCAAGGCCCTCCCCGTCCACCCCAACCCTGCAGGTACTTCCTGCAGCCCAAGGAGTCGGTGATGACCTACCTGGAGACCGGGATCAAATCTTGCGACACAGACCTCAAGCGCCTGACCAGCTCCCGTGACGCCCTGGTGAAGAGCCAGGAGGAGCTGCGCAAGGAGATCACCGAGCTGATCAGCGTGCGGAGCTGAAAGTGTAGATTGCATGGCGTCGTCGCCGGGCAGGGTGCCCCCATGCGCGCTCATATTGCCCTTTCTTGATGCACAAGCTGCGCATCAAGTGCATTAACCGCAGCAATCCACGCCGAAGCAAGGCTCGACCGTGCCAAATCGGCAGCTGGTTTGTCCATGTCATGGCCTAGTGTGCTTATGGACGCCTGTCTGCCTGCGTGGTTTGCTATCACTTCACCTTTGCTATTTCCATGCCCGTCTCCGCCTTCCCTCCTTCTACTTGACAGCACTCCGTTACACAAGTTACACACCCACACCTGCCGCTCATAATTTCAGCAAGGGCAGCATGCAGTGCTTGGGGCTTCCATGACGGTGCCGAGCATCAAGCAGTCGGCTTGAGGAGGGTGCCAGTGGGGCCAGCCAGGGGCAGACCAGGGGCACAAACCTCCAGCAGGGATAACAAAAGGGAGAGACTCGGAGCAAGCAAGGGACAGGCGTACGTGAATGGTACCGGTGGTGGTGCTGGAAGACAGGTTGCAGCATCATGCGGTGTTTGAAGCGAGGGAGCAAAAGCGAGGAATCGGTGGTGGGTATGCTGGGGAATCCAGGACCTGGGAGTGGAGGCCTCGGCGCAGAACAACACAGCCTGAGTGCCGAGCGGCCCGCTCCTCGTCCGCCTCGAGTGATGCCGCCCCACAGCATGCCGCGCCGGCCATACAAGCTCTCGCACCCATCTGCCAGGCCAGCTTTTGCCCCCGCCATGAAATCCCCCTCCCAGGTCTCTGCGCGCGCGGGCCTGCGCCGCCCCTACTTGATGTCCACCAGCTTGATGACCGAGGCGTTGCCGATGCGGTGCATGGCCACCACAGTGTCGCCGCGGGCGCAGTACCTCGAGTCGCGCGCGTGGTCCAGCGCCGCATGCAGCAGCTCGTCGGTGGTGTCGCTGTCGCTGGCCCTGTGGGTGGCATGTGGGTGGGTGGGTGGGGAATGTTGGCGGTGGTCGGAGGGTCACGAGGGGTTCAGTTGAAGGCCCCTTTTTGTGTGTGTGGTGGGGGGGGGGCATAACCGGGAGGGAGGCCGCAGGTGCCAGAGATAAGGTGTGGCGAGGGGGAGACGCCCCACGTGTTGGGGATGTCACCAACAGGGTGCCCAGCAAGCGGATGGGGCACCTGATACAGGAGCTCCCTGGATGATTCAGGTGGCCACCACGCAGCACCCTTCCCCAACCCAGCACACTTCAAACACCCACCCAAACCCTACCAACCTGGCGGAGCCTTCGGCCAGGATGGGGAGCAGGCCGCGGGAGATGAGCATCTGGCGCGCGGGGCTCTCGCTGGAGCACTGCCAGGTGAGGTTGTCGGTGGTGAGCACGGGGACGACGACCGTGAGCACGGGCACAGTGGGGCGGTACTTGGCGACGAGGCGCGCGGTGGCGCCGCCGCGCGTCAGCACCACGATCAGGCTGGCGCCGACTTTGTGCGCGGTGCGAACCGCCGACGAGGCGAGAGACTCCAGCGGGCTCATGGGCAGCGGCACGCGCTTCATGATGGCCCGGAACAGCGCAGTGTAGTTGATGGAGGCCTCTGCCTCATGGCAGATCTTGGTCATCACTGCCACCGCGGCCACGGGGTAGGCCCCCGCCGCCGTCTCCCCGCTCAGCATCACGCAGTCCGTGCCGTCCAGCACCGCGTTGGCCACGTCGGTGGCCTCCGCGCGCGTCGGTCGCGGGTTCTTGGTCATGGACTCCAGCATCTGGGTCGCCGTCACCACCGGCTTCCCCGCCAGGTTGCACTTCTGGATCATCAGCTTCTGGGCCAGGAAGATCTTCTCGGTGGGGATCTCCATGCCCAGGTCGCCGCGCGCCACCATGATCGAGTCCGACTTGTCCAGGATGTCGTCGAAGTTGGTCACGCCCTCGTGGTTCTCCACCTGATGCATGTACGTGGCGGCCGACGGGGAGGACATGAGCGCTGGGGCCTGGGCGCTGCATGCAGTGCACAGGTTTGGGTCGTGCGTCCCAGTCCACTGCATGTGGTGAGAAACGCTGCGCCACAGTGCTACCCCCGCGCTGTCACCCGGGCGTCGTCGCCCCCTGCGCTGTCACCCCCACATTGTCACCCCGCACTGGCGACGCCCCATCGTCGTCCCTCCCTCCTTCACCCCCCGCAACCACGAACAGCCCCCCCACACCTTGCTGATGATCTTGATGTACTGACCACGCGGGCCCAGCACCTTGCGGATGTAGTCCAGGTCGGAGCCCTTGCGCACAAAGGACGCGGCCACGAGGTCGATCTCGTTGGGCACGCCCCAGTTCTGCAGGTCGTCGATGTCCTTGTCGGTGAGGGTGGGCAGGTCCACGATCACACCTGGCAGGTTCACGTTCTTGCGCTCGCCCAGCTTGGCGGAGTTGAGGCAGCGCGCGCGCACCGTGCCCGCCGCCGGGTCGGTGGACAGCACCTCCAGCGAGATGGAGCCGTCGGCCACCAGGATGACCAGCCCGGGCCGCACGTCCTGCGCCAGCTTGGCGTAGGACATGGCGATGAGCCCCTTGTTGCCCCGCACCCCGTAGTCGGTGGTGATGGTCACCTCCTGGCCGGCGTCCAGGAAGACGGGGCGCTCGTCCTCCAGGAAGCCGGTGCGGATCTCGGGGCCCTTGGTGTCCAGCATCACCGCACACATGATGCGCGTCTGGCGGCACGCCTCGCGCAGGTTGTCCAGCACGCCCTGGTGGTACTCGTGGGAGCCGTGGGAGAAGTTGAAGCGCGCCACGTTCATCCCCGCCACCAGCATCTGCTTCAGGGTCTCCACACTGGCATTTAGGAGGGGGAAGGGGGGGGGGAACTTTCAGGCGATGGGCCCCGAGGAGGAAGGCCTCCACCGCTGGGCGGTGAGGAAGGCGTGGGAATGAAGTGACGACGTGAATGCAGCTCACGGCACCAGAGGACTAGCCCCAAGACGCCAGAGGTTGGGGGGGAGGGTCATCACGCAGGCTCAGCAGACAGGGTTGCCATGGAGACGTACAAAGAGCATTACTAATCAGGATGAAGAGATGTGCGCTCGACATCGACAGCCTTCGGAACGACATGAACAAGTAATACGCTCGACCTCATCGCTCATGTGCGTTGTCATCGCCATCAACTATTCAATAGACATGGGCACAGCCGCCCAGCATGGCCCGTGCACCAAACCCAATTCTCACTTGTTACATGCCGGCCCCAGGGTACAGATGACCTGCAAGGAGGGAGGGAAAAGGGCGATCAGGCGGGGTACAAGCACGAGGACGGGCACCAGGGCACCTCACCGTCAGGTGAATGTCGGCATGCGCCGGCCACAGACACACCCATCGCAATCCTGAATGATGCGATCCGAATACAGCACGGGAGGGGAGGGCGGCCAGCACACCATCCCGTCATGCGCCGCGATCTGTGGGGGAGGGGGCCCAGCCCTGGCACGGTCCCCCACCCTCCCCCACCCAATGCCTGTTAAACCAACCCCGCAAACCCTCGCGCGCCTTGGTCTTATTTCCTCCAGTCAGATGGGTGGACAGGATGGCATCCGGCCCGGTCGTGGGACCCGCCCTGCCGTCCATTGCTCGAATCGTGCGAGTCGCTGCACAGGGTTGCCGGGTGGCAGGCGCGGGTTTGGGTTCGAGGGTCCAGGCGCGGACTCTTTACTCGACTCGCCGACCTCAACTTGCTCGAAGGAATGTGTGATGCGTTATGAGTCCCGGCTGCGGGCCTTGGCCGCCCAGTACGCTGGCATCGCTGGGATGGTCGTAGGGTTCATCACGAGGGGTCTCTCCCCGCCTTCCCGCCATGCCTCATGGCCCCTGGGGTGCCGCCCTTCCAGACACGATCCAGCCTTGGATTTTGCATAACAGCGCTCATGGCCACGCCTTCCTGGTGCTGTGTTCCTCTGCTGATTCTTGGCAACCTACAGGGTCTCGGCGGGGGCTCCTCGTCACCCCCCTCCCCCCCCCTCTCGGTCATCTCAGACCCCCAACCACAGGGTCCAGGCCATGAGGCCTGCCCCCAGCGCGATGCCCGCCGCCAGGCGCCCCCCCGCCCTGCACCGCCGCGCCTCGGGCCAGAGCTCCAGCACGCAGACCGCAGCCATGAGGCCGCCCACGCCGGCCAGCATGAGCTGCAGCCGCGTGGCCGTCAGCGCCGGCCGCGCCACGCAGATGACCAGCAGCGCGCCCAGCGGCTCGCTGAGCCCCGAGGCGGCGGCCAGGCCCAGCGCGCGCGCGCGCCGACCCGTGGCCGCGTAGACGGGGGCGGCCACGATCACGCCCTCAGGCACGTTGTGCACGGCGATCGCCAGCGCCATGAGGGGCCCCAGGGGCGTGAAGGAGCTGAAGGCCACCGCCGCGCCCTCTGGCAGGTTGTGCAGCGTCATCGTGCCGGCCATGAGCAGGCCCAGCCGCAGCAGCTCGCGCGGCGACTGCGGCCTGCGTGGTGACGGCGATGGTGGCGGGGGTGTTGGTGGGTAGGTGGCGGAGGGGGTGGTGACGGGGGGGGGGGAGGGTGCCGGGGGCGGCGGGGGAAGGGTGGGCAGTGGGGGTCGAGGGTGCGGGGATGACGTGGGCGAGCCGGGGTCGTGGGGCCCGCGCCGGCACGGGTGGCCGGTGGGGAGTTCGCGTGAGGCTCGCCGCCCCCGGCGCCCCACCTCGCTGTCAGGCTGCTGCCGCTGGGCGCCGCGCTGGGCTGCCGGCCGCCGCCGCTCGCCTCCGCGGCGAGCGCGGCGGGCCCGACGTCGGCTCTGATGCGCTTGCCAGTCTTGCTGGCGGCTTCCACCGCGCTCGTCGTCGCCTTTGCTGGGGAGGGACCCGCTGGCTGCGAGTGGACACACAGGGGAGTGGGGGGGGGGGGCGAACGTATGAAATGTGGTGCCAAGGAGCGAGGCAGGGCGGCCAAGGATTATGACTCAGCCGGATACTCATGCTCCCCCTTCCCCCCAAGACACAAACCATTATCAATCTCCAGTACTCGCACACATGATGTTGTAGAGTACAGTGCCGCTGGGGTCCCCAACCAGCACCAAAGCCATCCCGGAGTCCTTCCCGCCCTCAAGATCAGCCACGGCCCCTCCCTGCCCCCCCTTCCGCCCTCCCCCACTGCTCCCCCACCCTCCCTGTTCACCTGGTCTGTGCCGCTCATGGAGGCAAGGAGGGGCTGGGCTACTTTGAAGAACAGTGCCCCCAGCAGGACCGCGGATGTGGTGGAGGCCCATCCATGTTCCATCGCGTTGTGGACCCACATCTCCACCACCGACAGCAGCATCATGACTCCAATGGCGGTTCCCAGGAGAAAGGAGAGGAGTGCATCGTCTGGTGGGCGGATGATCTGACGGGGAGGTGGGTGGAGGGAGTTGGCCGGGTCCATCTGAGCCTGGAACAACTCAGTGCTTTGGCGACCGGGACTTCCCCAAGCTCACCGCCAGTGCCGCGCCGAGGGTGGTGGACATGCCCGCAAAGGTTGAGAGTAAGAGCGCCCATCGCTCTTCCTCCGAAAACATGGCGAGCCCGGGTGTCGAGGGTGCCCCTGCGGGAGGGCGGCCCCTCTCCTCCGGTCGAGGCCGAAATGAAATTCAGGCAGGGCCCTGAGCTTCCACGAAGGGCATCCTTGTGTACAATTGGATTTCGGACGTGTAGAATATGACAATTGCGATTGAAGTAATGCTGGGTACTGTCGCTTTGTTAGAACGCTTGCGCGCGTGAGCTTGACACACGCCGAAATTCGACACTGCTGGTATGGCAGTCAACATGTTTGTATGGATCACCCAGACATTGAGCATTGGAGTCACACAGTAGTCCCACATCTGCGAAAGTGTGCAACTTGGATGAAAGTGAAGAACCATTTTTTGACATGGACCGCTGTGTCAGGTTTGCAAGTTTGGTGGTCTGCGTATGTCCAACTAGGTGAGTTGAGAAGACGACGCTGACAGACCATCATTGTACAGACTGTGAGCCTAGCGTATCGAAAGAATAGCGAGAAACCCTTGCACACTGTCCTTACATGCCCCAAGGATAGCTCACCTGCACATGTCTGCAATGCAATGATATACAGGCAGGCCTACCATCACCAGACCTTGAGTCAATGTCCATGCAAAACTCACCATGTCAAAGCGCATGATTGAGCTGCATCATCACGACGATATACCAAGGATGTCTAATAAGTTATGCCCGAACTTTTAAATGTCGCTGTGCAGGAGCGGCCTGTAATAATCAAGGGTAGCCCACCCCGGCATACTTCGACGCCAATCGGCAAGCGGACCACAGCTAGCAACAACTAGTGTTTATTCAAGCAGACTGAGCAATAGCTCGACCTTGGCTTCGCTCATACGTTGGGCAAGCAAGAACTGGTCGTGGCGCCTTTCCCTCCATGGACACCCTTTCTACCTAACCCTGTGCCAAGGCGGCTTCTGTAACATACACCCCCCCAGGCCCCCTGCCTCGCCCTCTTCCCCGCCCCCTGCACTCGCGCGACAGGGCTCGACAGCATGGCTGACCAACGCGGTAACGATGTGGCGCTGCTGCTGGCCGCTCAGAGCCACCTGGGCACCAAGAACTGCACCGCGCACATGGAGCGCTATGTGCACAAGCGCCGCAGCGATGGCATCTTCGTGTTCAACCTGGGCCGCACCTACGAGAAGCTCCAGCTGGCCGCTCGCGTCATCGTGGCCATCGAGAACCCCCAGGACGTGGTTGCCATCTCCGCCCGGCCATACGGCCAGCGCGGTGTGCTGAAGTTCGCCACCTACACCGGTGCCCGCGCCACCGTGGGTCGCCACACACCCGGTGCGTGTGGGGCAGTATTGGGACGTGGGGCGTAGGCTGGGGGAACAGTCTTGCGGGCCCTCTCGGCAGGCTTGGTCCGATAGGGCATGCCCAGGATGGAGGAGGCCTGCCTCCCAGCGGAGCATGGGGACCCTCTGGCCGGGGGAGCCATCCTTCTCATGTCAAGATCAGTTGATGGTTTCTGGGAGGGCTGGCAGCTACACGCTGTGCTTTCGGTCTAGGACATGGCGAGCACCTCCTGCTGAACTTTGCCGTCTGGAGTCCTTTACCTCGCCATCCCATTGAAACTACAACCCCTCTTCCCAGCAAGACCTCCTTTCCCCCATCTTACCCACCCAAAAAGTTGCACCCACCCAGCCCCACTCACTTTTTCGCTCCAGGTGCGTTCACCAACCAGCTGCAGAAGGGTTTCGAGGAGCCCCGCCTGCTGATCGTGACGGACCCCCGCACCGACCACCAGGCCATCAAGGAGGCGGCGTACATGAACATCCCCGTCATCGCCTTCACCGACACCGACTCCGACCTGGCCGGCATCGACATCGCCATCCCCGCCAACAACAAGGGCAAGCACTCCATCGGCGTGCTCTTCTACCTGCTCACCCGTCTGGTGCTGCAGGCGCGCGGCACCGTGTCCGCCGCCTCCCCCTGGGACGTCATGGTCGACATGTTCTTCTACCGCGAGCCTGAGGAGGCCAAGGAGGAGGCCGCCCCCGAGGCCGAGGCCGCGGCCGAGTACGTCGCCGACGCCGCCTTCCCCGGTGCGGAGGAGGGCGCCGGCTTCGACGCCTCCTACAACACCGGCTTCCCGGCGGCTGCGCCGGAGTTCGCCACCGGCTTTGACGCCGCGCCGTCCTTTGAGCCCGCAGCCGCGCCCGCGGCCGGCGGCGACGCCGCGTTCGCACAGGCCCAGGACTTTGGCGGCGGCTTCTGAGTGTCGGACGGGGTACCCGTGTGATGTGCGGCGCCGCTGGATGCACTTGCTGTCAAAGCACGGTCAGCAGGAGCGGGTCAGGAGGGCCAGCGAGGAGGGAAGAGGGTTCAAAGGGGTGGGGCCTCTGGCGGAGTGCTACTCATGTGGTGCTCTTGCTGAGTGCCGGAATTTGCTATGCTACAAGCGACGAGGTGGTGTCCAAGTGAGAGTGGCAGCAGGCTATGCATGATTCTCTGCAGCGGTCCATAGCAGGCACAGCGCAGGTGACCGACAAGTGCATGCAACGCGTGGTGGAGGGAGTCGGGGGAGGAGCTCCCCGTCAAGCTGGGATCTGATCAGTCGTCGCTCAAGACCAGAAGACTGCTCCAAACCTAGAGACGGAATGCGGTGACACTCGCGTCCTCCAGCAGCGCCAGCTGGCGACGGCCCTTGCGGATGAGGTGCTCGATCAGCTGGTAGTTCTTGGGGCTGACGCCACGGTGGCTGTAGTACAGTGGGCCGGCGCAGGGATTAGGGGGCTCCACCCATACAAGGTGACACATTGCCCGGACAGCAGTGATCGCAGTAATGACACCGCCAACTGCCTCGGTCATGTAGTTTCCACAACCTCGGAGACCCGAGTCCTTCGTGCCCGTCCGCCAGCCCCCCCTGACTCAGAGAACATGCACCCCCTCCCCAGCAACCATTACGCACCTCTCGATGGATGCCCTGGCATGGGCCGCCAGGTCCTTCCGCTGCCCAGGAGGTTTCTGTGCGGCGACACGAAGAGCGGCACGATACAGACTCAGCGCCTGCTTCTGTGTTGGGGTGGAGGAGGCGGGCAGGGTGTGGATGGCGTCGAGGGCGCCCTGGCTTCATGAAGCTTGGACGCCAGTCGCAGGAGCCCCACATGCCTCCCCGGTGCAGCCTGACCACCCCGCACACCTGCAGGCCGGACAGTCTTCGAGGTGCCATTGCAGCCTCAGACCACATGCAAGCTCATCATGCCACTTATTTGACGCCAGCACACAAGTTCTTTCCGCTTTGATGCCGGTAATGGGTGGTGTGGGTCCGTAGATATTCCAGGACGAGGGTGTGTGGCTCCCAGCGATTTCAAGTCGATCCCTCGCCTCCTAATTCTCTTTACATCAATGAAAGATACTGGAGAAGCCCCTTATGTTGTCGGCATACTTTAGACTAGCTTTCGTGCAGCATCGAGAGCCTTTGTCGTGAGTTTGAGGGCGCGCTTTCCTGAGACGCGCCCGGGAAGAAGAATGCTCGCCAGGTGTGGGTCGGCCACATCCAAAAAAGTACCTTGGACCTGGGCCTTCAACACACCGTAAACACTCGTCTAGAAAAGTAGTCGTGGCGGCACCCCCCGCGCCTGTCATTCCTCCTCTGAGCGGGCGAGGACGACCGTCTCGGCTGCGAGCACGGCTAACCCGTCATGGGGCCCGCCATCCCCAAAACATTGGACGACATATACAACGACTACACCATCAGGAGGGAAGCCCTGCTGACTGCGCTGACGGATGGTGAGGGGCCATGCGGATGCTTCGCCCGTTGCCAGCACCTGGGGTTTTGAGTGCGCGACCGCTCGACGGAGCTTCGACCGTGGCTGCACCAGCCCCGCCCCATTCCGCACCCTCTGCAGATGCAACCGAATTCTACGAGGCCTGTGATCCTGGGAAGGACAACCTCTGTTTGTATGGTGCGCTGCCGTATTTATCCCCCAGGGCCACATTCTCTCCGTAACACAACGGCCCCACCTGCGAGCTCAAATCCAGGGAAGTCCTGCACGCCTTGGACATGAGATCAGACTCTCAGCCTCGTACCTGATTTTGCACAGGTCATGCCGACGGGAACTGGACCGTGGACCTGCCCGCCGACGAGGTGCCGCCCGAGCTGCCGGAGCCCGTGTTGGGCATAAATTTTGCCAGGGATGGTGAGGCCAGGGAGCCCAGGTGGCTTTGAATGGTGCTTCACAGGGGCTTTGCACGGCGAACTGCGAAGCTGGATGTTGGGGGGGGGCCTAGGGCCTTTGAGGAGGCCGTGCAGGGTCCCTGCACTTGTCCTCTGCTGCTCATGGTGGTCAGCTTCCCCCCTTTCCTCCTGGGGCCAGGGATGGAGCGACGAGACTGGATGGCCCTCTGCGCCGTGCACAGCGACGCCTGGCTCATGAGCGTCCTCTTCTTCTACGCCGCCCGCTTCGACGACAGCGGCAGGTGTGGGTCTGCGGGGGCGTCCAGGCCTGGGTGCTGGGGGGGGGGCCTGGGTGCTGGGGGAGGACTTGGGTGCTGGGGGGTAGTGGGTGCAGGTCTCGGGTGCTGGATTCACAGGTGCGAGCGCCCCAGGGACTGCCCCACCCTGGTTTCCATGACCCCGTCGTACGATTCGATCGGAGTGAAACACAGCACTCCTCCGTTTTTACCCCCCATGCCACCCCCCACTCACCCACCCACACAAATTTGCGGCAGGGCGGAGCTGTTTTCCCTGGTGAACCAGCACCCCACGGTCTACGAGGTGGTCACCGGCCGCGTCCCGCGCACCAAGATCAACAAGCGCAAGCAGCCGGTGTACGGCAAGGCGTACGCCGGCGCCATGCCCGCCCCGGCCTCGCGGGGAACCGGGGCGGGGCCCACCGGGCGCCTGGCCTCGCGACCCCGGGCCGAGCAGCAGGCCCCCGCGGCCGACCGGCCCCTGCCCACCGGGCGGAAGCTGACCTACGATGACGTGTCCCAGGCGCTGGTGGGCCGCCAGGCGGAGGTGCGCTGCGAAGGGGCGCCGGGGGGCGGGCTGCACGGTCCCCGGGGTGGGGACGGGCGTCACGGACGGTGCTGCGGCGCCGCGGGTCGTGGGGGATCCCCGGCAGCACCACGCCCGGCACTCCCCCCCTGCATCTCGGGGAGGACCCCCCCTCCGTCCCCCTCTGCCCCTCCGCCTGCCTGTGCTGGAGCTCCCCCCCCCCTTTCCCCCTGCGCAGTTGTACTGGCCCGACGACGGCAAGTGGTACCTGGTGGAGATCCACTCCGTCGACCCGGACACCATGGAGGCGAAGTGCGTGCTGAACAGGCTAGGCGCTGGGTGGGACGCCCGGGCGGGGTGCCGTGCTCCTCCCTCAACCCCTCCTCCCAACCTCCCCATGCCCCACGTGCATTGCAGGGTCCAGTACGCGACGGGGGAGTTTGAGGCGCTGGACTTTGACGAGGTCATACCCAGCGGCCACATGTCGCTGCTGGCACGCTAGCGGCCGCCTGTCCCGGCGGGGCCCGCACCCTGGGGCCCTGCAAGCATGGAACCCCCGCTCTGGTACGCACAATGGCACAGCGCTGCTACACACCTCCTGACATGAGCAGGCATGTCTCCTGCATGCGTGCAGCCCCTGACCTTGACGCGCTTCCCCCTCTCCGCGCCCGGGCCCAGTTCCCTTGACGCGCGAGGGCGATCGGGGGAAATGCAACCTTGCACTGCAGTGTCCCGGGACAGACAGGCGCGAGAGCGACAGAAGGGACAGTCAGATCGTTGCTCGTGGGACGCAGGAATCGCGTCACCCCCCTCAAGTCCGCCTGAAGGTGCGAGGATCGCGAGCGCCGGGTGTCCGTCTTGTCCCGCTCGCCACCGCCGCTCCGAGCCGACATCTGCAGAGGGATCGAGGCCCACCCAGAGGATGACGGGGGTAGAGCCTCCCAGTACTGCCGTCACCACCGTCGAGAGCCTGAGGCCGGACGCCCAGGGACTGCGGCTGCTCGTCAAGGTGGTTGGCCACTCAGGGGCAGTGGGGACCCGAACCTAAGACATGCCTGCATCAAGATTGACATTGTCCCTTTGACAAGCACACGTCCAGGTTGTGGATGTGAAGACCGTGCTGGACAAGGCTCCGAGGCCGAACGGCAGGACACAGAAGGTGGCTGAGTGCTTGATTGGGGACGAGACAGGCACCATCCTCTTCACCGCTCGCAATGAGCAAGGTAGGGGTTGACTTTGGTTCACAAGCTCTGGCTCAGGAGAGGGCAAAGGTGCCAGTCGTTCCCCTTCCCTGCTGGCACGACGCCCTCCCAACCACTGTTGCCCCTTCCTGCCATGGACCAGTGGAGATCGCCAAGCCCGACACCTACCTCGACCTTCGTGGGGCCAAGATTGACATGGTCAACAACAGCATGAGGCTAGCCGTGGCCCCAGGCGGGAGCATGGAGGCCGTGACAGGGCACACTTTCAACCCCCGGGTACGAGTAGCTGAGGGAGGAGCCGAGCCGCCTCCCAGTATGCACAGGCGTGGCTGTCCACCCATGACGCTCCCGGCAAGTCCTCCAACCCCTTCTCCCTGATGCTGTGTAGACCGACTTCAACCTGTCCCTCATCGAGTTCGAGCTGGTCCTGGTGCCACGGGAAGAGGCTGGCCCCAGCCCCGCTACAGTCGGGGGCATCGATCCAGCTCGAGGGCCTTCCCTGACAGGCGGAGCCGAGGGCACGGAGGAGCCCAGCCAGGCGATCCCAGAAGAGGAAGGTTGACCGGTTCCTTGCAGCGGCCCGATGGGTCCCAAACCTGTTGCTCCAGGATCTTGTTATTGGCCCCTGTCGTGAGCAGGCACCCGACATGCATGAGGCTGCCCGTGAATCATGTAACCCTGGACAACTTTACCGGGCGGAGCCCACCATTGGAGATCGGGCAGAGCCTGCTGCGGTCCACACACTCAATCAGCGGTGTACGGCGGGGATGACGGTCCGGTGGTGTGGTGCAAGCGCAGGGCACTGGGCTCCTTGTTTTCACGGTCAAGGTGAGATACGATCGGTGTTTCACCAGGACAAGGGGGGGCGACAAACCCTCCTTGTCAACCATGCTTTGAGGACGGCGCTGTATGCACATGTCTGCACAACTGGTCAGATATTGGCTTGAGGCAGCTTTGCAAAGACACTCCACACACATCAAGGTGGCATTGTAAAAGTTGATACTGGGTGTGGGTTGTCACTTTATTGCATGCGCCTGAGTGGGAGGTCAGGCCTCGCTCTCAACCATGCCCCTCCCCTCTCAAGAGGGCGCTGTGGAGGGGATGACGGCCGCTGCGCCTTCATGCCCAGTTATCTATGTGTGGGGGGTAAAGAGGGCCCTAGAGGGATCCCCAGCATGGGATAGAAACTCAAACCAGCATGGCGCCTAAGCCGGCTGTATCTCGGCAGTTTTATATTACAGCAGTGCATGCCAGGTATACTGAAGGTCTGCTACATCACTACTCCCTGGGCAACAAGCCACACGCAGTCTAGCTGAGTGGTTGTGCAGGGACCTTCACGCCTGCTGCGTAGGCACGGTATCCAATGCAGGGAGGGGTCACAGAGTTACACAAACCTCATTTGACAGAATTGACCAGTTCAGCATGGTGTCACGAACTTTAACCTTGAAGCAGTACTGGTCACCCGCCGTGAAGATTATGTCCGGCGTGGTAGTGTACACCTTGACTGCTGACCCAGGTCTCCAAGCCGGCATTTGAGTACCATTTTCTACCACAAGACCCCTACAAATGAGAATGTGTATGTCGTAGTGGTAAATGTCAATTTGTTCGATCCCACAGGTGTAACCGTCAGGGTTAAGACTGGTGGAGGTGGAGGTGGAGGTGAAGGGGGTGGTGGAGAGGGTGGAGGAGAGAATGGAGGGGGAGGGGCTGGTGGAGAGGGCGGAGGTGGAGAGGGCGGAGGCGGAGAGGGCGGAGGCGGAGAGGGTGGAGGAGAGGGTGGAGATGGTGGAGGGGACGGGGGTGGAGAAGAAGGTGGCGGAGGGGAGGGTGGAGAGGGTGGAGGGGGAGAGGGTGGAGGAGAAGGGGGTGGTGGTGTGGGTGGAGAGGGCGGAGGGAGGGGGTTGGAGGAGATGGGGGAGGGTTAGGGGTGGTGAGGGAGGGTGGCGGAGGGGTAGGGGGAGGAGGAGGAGAAGGGGGAGGGAGGGGAGGGACTAGAGGAGGATGGAGGAGAAGAGGAATGGGGAGGGCGAGGTGGTGATGGCGGAGGTGGTGCTCTCCTCACTGGGAATGGAGAGTTGTGTCTCTTTGGAGGTTGGGGGGCTAATTTGAGCGGGAAGGGGAGGAGGTAGGGGAAGTGGGGAGAGGCAAGGGGGAGGGAGGGGAGGGACTAGAGGAGGATGGAGGAGAAGAGGAATGGGGAGGGCGAGGTGGTGATGGCGGAGGTGGTGCTCTCCTCACTGGGAATGGAGAGTTGTGTCTCTTTGGAGGTTGGGGGGCTAATTTTTGTGGGGATGGTGGGGGACTCTTCTTGGGCGGTGAAGGCGGCGGTCGATTGTAGTCCCTAAGCACTGTCTTGCGAGGTTCCTTCACATTGCAGAAGTTGAGGATCGTCGTCCGTTTTCCGACCGCGTCGTTGCACCGCAGGTTTGTGCCCTTGTTGTTGAGACCCCAGTTTAGGTTTCCCTTGTTGTAGCTCCCTGCGCATGATGGAACTGGGATGTTATAGTCGAGCAACGTCATGGTCATGTATGGCACATCCCTCCACCCAGCTTGTGCAACACTCGGACCCCTAGGACCACCCCATCGCTTTCCCGGGCCTGCTCACCAATGTTGTTGTTACCCTCGTTATAGTTGCCAAAGTTGTTCTTCCCCTTGTTCCCGGTACCAATGTTGCCATCCTTGTCAGCAGTGCAAGCCTTCTGTCCAGCCGTGAGACACTCTACGGCTACCAGGATCCTGGTGGATCGCTCCTTGATGACCTCAAAGGGAGTCATCTTGATGGCGCTGGCGGAAACACCGAGGGTGTGAAGGGTGGTCTCTCTGAAAGAACCTGCCTTGGCGTGGCCCATCCACCTGCGGTGCATGATGAAAGCACATGGCACTGTTGAGAGGTGGCTGACGACTTGGTGCGATGCATTGGCTTGGACTTGCCTTGCAAAGCCACAACTTGGATCGCCTCATAACGCACCTTCAGATGTCATTGGCGCTGCTGGCTTCGAGCATGTAGACATGGGGACCGTAACTGCGTGAGGAAGGGGCAGTGTGTGGCGGGGTGGAGCATGCAGCTGCCCGTATCCGGACGCAGTCGGCCTCCCGCGGCACAACCAATCCATCGTCACCCAGGCTCCACGCCCTCCCGGAAGAAAAAGTTGACGAAACAAACCCAGCAAAATCCAGCAGAAACTCACATGACCGTCGGAAGTGGGTAGAACTTGGTTGTGCATGCGCCCTGGGAGCAGGAGGCGTGTGGGCGTCACCGTCCGGATATGATACGTAACGTGCACCCTCCCTCTGGGCAAATATTGTGCTTGCAAACAAATTCCATTTGACCCACCCGTGAGAGAACACCAAGGCTCAACAGGAGAAGCATTGTGCTCCAGAGGGGTGTCTGTCGCTGCGACGGCATCTTGCCGCGCCAAATTTTGGCCAAAATCGCAATACTCCAATCGATTCGAAGATGCAACAATGTCCACTGGAAAAATCAGGCACTCTGTGGCTGATGGTACAACACTATGAGGGATATTCTACAGGAGCCCCCCGGCATCACGTCTTGACCGGGACGCGGATCGGCTGAACGACGACGGCCGGGAGGCTCCTATCTCCCCTCGGAGGGAAGCCAGAGGAAGCTGCAAATCCTTGACGTCCTACTCAGCCCCTGAGACGTCGAAACATGCATACAGTCATTTGGTTCTGCATCAGCTCTGACGAACACGGAACCAACCCCTGCCACCCTGTTGCTGCACTTCCCCCTCTGCAGGGACCAGGACCCCCCAGTGGTGTCATCTCATTCTGCACTTCGCCTCAAGCTTTCTCGTCAGCTTTCACTCCGCAAGGGCAGCATGTATCCTCACATGGAGACATATGAGTAGGTCATACTCAGCTGCATTCAGTTCCATGCGCAGATGAAAGGAAGAACTTATCTGAAGTTGCTGCTGCACCTTTGTATTCCTTTGTTCATTTGCAAGTGAGCCCATGCAGGTTGCAAGGGCCTCCCACCTCTACCTCGCTGGCACGAAAACCACGCGCTTGGAGTCGACCTGGCATGCAGCAGTCCGCTGGTCAATGCAGCCTTGGCATCTGTGCGCTTTTACTGCTGGCCGCAGAGCAGAAGGCATGGTCCTCACCGCTGCAACAGGCCCACATGCAGCAAGTTCCAAGCAGATGCCGTCCGCGGCACCTGTGGGGAGCAATTCTGGAAACATGGTGCCATTTCAGTGACGATTGCCGGTGTTGCATGCACATACTGCCAGAACTGATCGCGGGGCATATCTTTGCAGGGCCCAGACTCCAGCGTGCCCAGTGCGCCTACCAGTGCTTGGCCCCATAGGCAGCCGAACGGGGATCGGACCAGCTTGCGACGCAGGGGTCGCTCCAATAGCACCAGGGCCGTGCCTGTGGATTGAAAATGGAGTGAAGAAGTGCATCAGGGTTGACGCTTGCAGGTACTGGGGTGGACAGGGACTGGAGGGCAGAGGGAGTCGATGGTGCGAGCTCAAGGTCAACCACACACAGCACATCATGAGCAAGGGATGCAAAGAAAGACTCAGCATCAGGCCTGTGAACGCAAAGGCCCAGGTGATCTCCATGGCCTGTGCTGGCCAACGTACTGTGCGGCACTGTGGAGTCCTTCTCACACTTGGCCCCTTGTCACTCAGTGAACTCTAGTCCTTGAGACTACGTTCCAGATGGGGTTCAGCTGCAGCGGCCGCTGCTGTAGTGCACGTCCCACCCTTTGGCCGCAAGGCCTGCCCAAAAACGCTGCATTGCTGCGGACCAGCATGGTGGATGAAGCCGCCGGTGTTATGCTGGGTGCCACGGCCCAGCACCCAGAGCATAAGGGAGGCAAGACCATCCTTGGAGAGGTCAGCCAGCCTTCCCAGCCCCGACAGTAACTGCGTGGCGTCCAGCGTGTGAGAGGGCAAGGTGGCAGGGCTCTGAGTAGGCGAGCTGGCACCAAGCTCTGACAGATAGGTGGATGTTTTTGCATGCGCCACAGCCTCTGCATCCTCCACGAGCTTGCGGAACACACTCTCGCCAGTCCACCGACTAATCAAGCACGCTATTGTGACAGCCTGCTTCAAGATGGGGAAGGACGCATTCCTGCATCCACACTTGCTTGAGTGGGTGCGAACTGGCAAATGGCAATACGTCCTCTCTCTTCACCTTGTCCGGATTACATGCGGACACAGCGGACTGGGGTGCGGGTCGCTCTTGAGGCAAAGGCCATGATTCAACATTCCCGTTGCCGCCAACATACCCCCACGTTGCAGCCGGCAATGAGAAGAAATATTGCAAGCACGCAGCCTGGGATGGATGGGGGGCGAGAGTTCACGACGTCACCGAGCAAGGGGGAAGAGAGTGAGTGCAGTTCTTACCACGGAATACATCCATCCCGCGATCCACCTCTGCAATAAGCTACACGCTGAGTGAGTCGAGCATCTCGTCTGACAAGGTTGTTCGTCTGTGCGGCGCCATCCTCGCTGCAGCAAAACTTGGCCAAGACAGCAAGCTTTGCTTATGGATATTTGAAGCTACCAGATCCCGCTCAGGAGCTGGAAGAGCTCGCGAGCTTGGTGAGGTAATCAACGGATGTGATGAAGCCCTCTCTCAAGATGCATGGAGGGTTCCACCGGGTCTTTCTCCGGACCATGTCCAGGGCGCACAATACCTATCGACATGCGGTCTCTCAGGATGAGATTTTGGCTCCGCACCCCTCCACTTCGCCCGTGCTCCTCCTCATCTCAGCCGATCGTGGACATTTTAATATTGCTTTGTCTCACACCGGGAAAGACTCACCGCCCTCTCCCTACGCACACACTGGCAGTCCTCGGCCGAGCACGGCGCATCGTTCAGGTCTCCCTGCTGTCCACATCTCACGTTTCCCGCTCACTCAGGATCCCAGGCCCGCATTTGCACAGCCGAAGGGCGCCCCGCCTTGGTTCTGACAGTTTCGCGGGACGACGGAGCATGACTCGTCACCCTGAACTGCAGGTGTGGTGAGGCTGGCGGCGTGCCGCACCGGCCTCAGGGCTCAGGCCATGCCTGCGCTGCCAGGGTGGATTCCAATGTCTGGCCCATGCGCACAGCCCGTGACTGCTGCCCGCCAGCGCTCCCCCGATTGCCTGCCCCATCTCAATGCCCTGACCCCTGCGGCGCCACCCTCGCAGGGCCTTGGCGCCGAGGCTGGCCCGGCGAGGCAGCCCCCCTCGCAGGGCCTTGGCGCCGAGGCTGGCCCGGCGAGGCAGCCCCCCTCGCATCTGGAGCGGGAGTGCGAGTTCCTGGAGGCGGCGCTGTCCATCCCCGGCCTGAAGGGCGGCTGGCTGGCCCCTCGGCCCGGCGGCGACGCGGTGCTGGCGCTGCAGTACGCGCAGCGCGACCTGGCCGCCAACACGCAGCGCCGGAGCCTGGTGCACGCCCGCCTGTCCGAGGCGGGGCTGGAGGCCGGGGCGCCCGCCGCGGCGACCCCGGCCGCGGAGATGCACGGCGCGCTGGCCTGCTGGGCCTCGCCCTCCGGGCGCAGGAGGGTGCTGGTGCGCGCCGGCGCTGGCGCCGGCGGCTCGGCCGCCGCGGGCGGGGCGGCCCCGGGCACGATCCTGGAGGTGTGGGGCCCGCTGCGCCTGGAGCGTGTGGTGTCAGTGCCCGAGGTGGTGCACGGCTCTGTGTTTGCCGACCCCTGGTTTGGAGGGGCCGGCCCCTCCTGGTCCCCGGACGAGCGCAGCCTGGTCTACGTGGCCGAGGTGGGGGGGCTCCCGGTGGTGGGGCGAGGGAGGCAGGGTGGGTGGCAGGGGGTGGGTGGGTGGAGGGTGGTGGAGT